AAAGTTGTAACATCGTTACAGATAGTATACGTAATAGTAGTAATTCTAATAATTAATTTAGTATATTGTAATAGTTTATTAACTATAATAAAAAACTATAATAATATGTTAATGTAGATGTAGTAGTAGGGCGTTAGCGACTCGCTTGGGTTAGCGACTCACTTGTGAACCACGTTAAGTAATATAATAAAAAGTAAAATTAATAGAGTTTTTAGTATATTTTAATAATTTCTACACGTTATATAGTGTAAGTTAAGATGGCTTAAGAGCTACTTAGCTTACTTAAAATATAACACTAGCGCTTTATACTAAATAGGTATTATTTAGCTACTTAGTAAGTTATAAAAAAAGCTAAGTTATTTAATTATAGTGCTAACTCTATAGAGTTTAGATGCCGCGCCCCTAATGTAGACCCTAGCTTTAAGGTGGGTGAGATAGCTATTGGTGGTGGGTTGTTTAACCATTGCCCTTTGAAGAAGGGGGGGGGTTTATCACCACCCAACTAAGTCAGATATGACATAATGTCCCACCAGTGCAAACAGAAAAACTCAGCAATTATACAAGGTAACGGAAACAAATACATACTTTAATCTAGAGTCTCTAATGAGTTGTTGCGAAGCTGGGGACATGAGAGCATGGAGGTAGAGGGTAAGAAGCGCTGTCTAGCTGCTGGACTACATACATGTGACGCTGGAGTATGAATCACGTGATACCACCAGAGCAGTATGCATGAGGAAGGGTGGCGGGCACGTTTGTTGTGTATCAGCTCATGAGAAGATTCTCTTAAAGCTTCAAGTAGAAACCACGATAACCACTACGATTTGTTTTTTACACGTGATTTGGACGTACGGATGCAGCACATGTCACGACGTTGTGGAATACATGGCGGAAGACCACAGTGAGGTGCCTTACTCTGTGTACTTGATGATTTTATGAATTCATCTTTCAACAGTCAATACATTTGGATACTTCTCTCCTATACCCTACCATATCCGCCGCTGGCTAATATGAAACTACCAACCAACCACTTCCCTAGATAGACATTTAAGCTTTGCACTCCTTCACAGCATCAGTCACGATATACTCCTCCAGCCCCCTTCGCGTAATATAGTGGCGCACTGGGTAGGTGTGATGTACATAGTAGTTAGTAAGCATAGGGTACAGCATTAGTTAATCTAGCAAGATAGAGCTGTTAGTACAAAAGCAATTGTAACAAGAATGTGAGGATATATTGCGTGTTGGCATCTTTTTATCTGCACGTTAATAGTATTTGCAAAACACAGGAATTAAAAAAGAGTAATGCACGCAGTAATACGAAAACGGATACAAGATAAGATAAGATATTATTAAAGACTGTACGTCTGCACATTACCACATCACATACCACACCACATATCATATGACATACCATATGTCATACCACATGCCATGGATATTAATTAGAAGCCCACGTATTACAAGACTAATCATAGAACCCCAGAATCTTATTCGCCCTATCGAGAATGACCTTTTCACCGGGCCGCAAATCAGGGTGGTCGCTGTCCCACTCGAGCAGGCCCATGGCGCGGGAGCCTTGTTCGCCAACCAAGCCGTGGACATGGTCGACCTTGACACGGCCCACGTGTGCGCTTTCGCCAATGCCGCTGCCAAAGTCTGGGCTCGGGGTGCCGTGAATAAAGGCGGCGCGCTGGCGGGCGAGGAAATTGGCATTGTCTTCGGTCATGGGGCAGGCGGGAATGTACAGGACGCTCGAGTCTTGGGTGCCAGCGTGTCGCTTGTCGACGCTGTGGATCGTGTCGCAGTGCCATGCGACGTAGTCTCCTGGCCGGACGGTTGGGATGTGGATCATGGATTTGCGCAGGTGCAGGTGGGGATGCAAGAGGTGCGAGAGTTCCTGGCCGTGGCCTGGGGTTGCGCCTTGGAGCCACGATGTCTGGGGCGAGTCGAGCTCCCAGTTGTCGGGCGCGAGGAAAGCGGCCGAGTCTGTCATGGCGTCCGAGGCGGTTTGGGCGCCAGGGGCGATGCCGCGCTTGGGCGAGAAAAAGGGCCGCAAGAGGTAGTAGGCCGTGGCTTTTGCGAGGAGCGGGTTGACAAGCAGGGTGCCTTGGTGGGGGCCGGTCGTGGAGAGCGAGAGCCAGCCTTGGAACATGCGGAATGCGCTGCATGCTCCGACGCCATTGTGGAGATCGGGGACGGCTGATAGACGGCAACTGGCCTCCCAGGGATCAAAGTCCTCCCACTGACCCTTCCAGATTGCGTCGTAGACCTTTCCCTGGCCGTATCCTTGCTCGTCCCAGCGCTCGACGCTGCCTCCGTCAATGTGAGGTCCAAGTGCAAACTGGGCGTCGCCGGGCTGGCGCATGCGCAGGCGGTCGGCGTAGCTAATGGGGTGCCTTGTCGATAGCGGCATGTGCGGGTTGGCCGTGTGCCAGTAGGACATGAGGAAGCGATGCGCCTTGAGGAGATTGGGGTTTCCGCGCGCGAGCAGTTGGGCGCGCGACCAGTAGAGCTCAAAGACCTGAGGGCTGCCGGGCGGATAGGCTGTTGCGCGGTTAGTTGTGAGCAACCAGTGCATGCAGTTACTCGCCCTTTGTCTGGGGATTCTGGCGAATGTACTCTTTCAAATCCTCTTTCCATTGCAGCGCCTGCTGCTCTGGCACGACGCCCCTCACGACGGCGACACCCCGCTTCCGCAGCTCGGTGCTAAAGGCGTCGGGCGCATTGTCGATGTCTCCAAAGTCAATCTCGGGGATGATGTTGCTGCCCTGTTGGACAATGTGCGGAATCTCGTCACGGAGGTCGCGAAGAAGGCGGTGCCATGACTCTCGTACTTGATGTTCGCGGCCGCTAATCAGGCGAGTTTTTAGGGCGCCATATTCAGGCGCCAGAGGCTCAAAGTCGTGGCCCGAAAGCGAGGCAAAGGCGGCGGAGATGTCGCCGGCGCGCTTCTGCGCCTGGGTAGCGGCGGTGCGCACTTGTCTGGCAGCGCGGCTGGTTGGAGAGCGAATCGTTCGCAGCGAGAGCATCGTGGGGGCGCGCTGCGGCACTGCAAGACAGCTCTGCCATGGGCTGACATTATATATCCAGTCGCGATACCGTCGCACAACGCCCAGGTGGTCCGACAGAGCTGAAGCTCAAGCTGAGAGCGCGAGATACTGTACCGGCGGAAGCTCTGCTGGAAAAAGGATAGTGGCGTGTACGCACGACTGTGCTCGCATCGACAGCACGTGTCGAGCATCGTTTCCGACGGCTGCCATGGCGCCTCGTCATCATTTCTGGCGCTCGCGAATGAGCACCAGAGGAGCAGCCCGTCGGCATTATATCATGGGGAAGAGGGTTCCGCTACCCCGCCATGCCACTTGTCCAGCACGCAGAGCAGGTTAATGGTAGTGGTAGCCTGAATGGACGGGCCGCAATCCCACTGACCGCCCCCGTCGCCGTGAATCCTGGCGGGGCAGAATCGACGTAAGAGCATAGCCTCGTCATGTGGAGAGGAGTTGCAACGTTGAGCGAGGGGGCGGGCCAAGCGGGGTTGATGGGTCCAAGGAGCCATTGAGCGAGGGCGAAGGAGTGAATATAGCCTGCTTGACCAAAATCAATGCGTACCAAGAGCCTCCATCAGTCTTGACGCGCCTCGTGGAACCGTCTTGGACGCGTGAAGACGGTTGCAGCGGGACGTCCTCCGTTGGCAGCGCCGCCGTCCGAGGTTCCACGTATATGAACAAGTTAAAGCCGTCCCCTCTGCTGCACCCATCGAGACCCGGTCTCTCTCCACTTGATTTTTTCTTCTTCTTCTCCTCCCTCGTCACCTGCTGAATCGTCGTCGACGAGAGAAGCATCTCGGACATTGAGCCCAAGTAAGCATCATGGCGCAGTCGTATCTGCCCAAGGATTTCCTATGGGGGTTTGCAACAGCCAGGTTCGTCTAACCAAAAAGTACACCGCCCCAAACCATAGTCGGATAGTCGGGGGCGGCCCGCTGCCTTGACACACGCTGAGTTTTGCAATTCTCCAGTTACCAAATCGAAGGCGCCCCGCATGAAGACGGGCGCGCCGACTCCATCTGGGACTCGTTCTGCCGCATCCCAGGTAAAATTGCTGGCGGCGAATCGGGCGAGGTGGCGTGCGATTCCTACCACCGCACTGACGAGGATGTTGCGTTGCTGAAAGAGTTGGGCGCAAAGTCTTACCGCTTTTCGCTGTCATGGTCACGCATTATCCCGCTCGGGGGCCGCAATGACGCGGTCAATGAAAAAGGACTGCAGTACTATCTCACGCTGGTTGATAAGCTCCATGCTGCCGGCATTGAGCCAATGATTACATTGTTTCACTGGGATCTGCCTGACGAGCTGCACAAGCGCTATGGGGGTATGCTGAACAAGGACGAGTTTGTAAAGGATTACGAAAACTACGCCAGGGTGTGTTTCAAGGCCTTTGGGTCAAAAGTAAAATACTGGATCACCTTCAATGAGCCATGGTGCAGCTCAATTCTGGGTTACGGAACCGGCCTGTTTGCCCCTGGCCGGTGCAGCGACCGAAGCAAGAGCGCTGAAGGCGACAGCACCAGGGAGCCCTGGATTGTCGGACACTCGTTGCTCATTGCTCATGGGGCGGCGGTCAAGGCGTACCGTGACGACTTCAAGGCTCAGGATGGAGGCCAGATTGGAATCACTCTAAATGGTAAGTGCCGAAAGTGCCTGATATTCGTGGCCCCACTCACACAGCGCCTCGTGCGTACGGCGGTGGGGGGGAAAAGAAGCAAAGAAGGAAAGAAAGAGAGAGAGAGAGAGAGAGAGAGAGAGAGACAGAAAGAAAGAGCAAGACATGTGCACATGTGAAGCGGAATATGGATGCTGATATGCCCGCGTAGGCGATTGGACCGAACCGTGGGATCCAGAAGACCCAAAGGACCGCGAGGCGTGCAATCGCAAGATTGAGTTTGCCATTTGCTGGTTCGGCGACCCAGTCTACTTTGGCAAGTATCCAGACTCGATGCGTAAGCAGCTTGGCGATAGGCTGCCTGAATTCACACCGGACGAGGTGGCTCTGGTCAAGGGCAGCAACGACTTTTACGGCATGAATCACTACTGTGCCAACTACATTCGGCACAGGGATACGGAGCCGGAGCTAGACGACCATGCAGGGAATCTCGATGTTCTTTACCAGAACAAGAAAGGCGAATGGATCGGGCCAGAAACCCAGTCGGCGTGGTTGAGGCCAATGCCCTTGGGCTTCAGGAAGCTGATTAAATGGCTCAGCGATCGGTACGGTGGGCCGACCTTCTACGTAACCGAAAACGGCACGAGCCTCAAGGGCGAGAACGAGTTGCCTCTGGAGCAGCTGCTCGACGACGAGTTCCGGTGCGAGTACTTTAGGGGCTACATTGGAGCCCTGGCCGACGCGCATACGCTCGACGGGGTCGATGTCCGGGGTTACTCTGCATGGAGTCTGATGGAGTACGTATCACAACGCCCATTTCCTTTTTTGTCTGGCAAGGTGTTTTTGTCTTGCCCTTTTGCCGTCTATTCTTGCACTGCAGCCTCCTTTGCCCTCCCCAGCTTCCCCGGCTGGGCACGGCTAGTTCCGCTAGCTCGTGTATCACGGGCCTCGCACTCGGGTCGGAGCAAGCAGACCAAAACCTTTTTCCCTTTAGTCCCAAACGCACCTGCAGACCATGTGGCGAGACAAGTGTACTGATGATGACTGTGTAGCAACTTCGAGTGGGCTGAGGGGTACACGACGCGTTTCGGCGTCACCTACGTCGACTACAAGGGCGGTCAGAAGCGGTATCCCAAAAAGAGCGCACGGGAGATTTCGAAAATCTTTGACAAGTACATCCAGAAGGACTAGTATGCGGATACGGCGTCCACTGGTGCGGTCGGGTACAAAAGCCATCGAATCAGAGGCGGGAACGTGGAAGGGATCAGCCCTCTAGCGGCCGAATGTTTTCTTTTTTTGCAGACTCTAGACGTCGGATTGAGTTTGGGTGGCTTGCTGGCCTTGCCCTGAAGTCCAATGTTTGCGACAGCTGAAGGACCTAGTTTATTTTGTCCCTTTTCAGGGTCTGTCGACCGTGGATTGGCTTTGCATGGAGAAGGAGATCTGGGTCGGGAGCGTTGCAGTGAGGGCCGTATACCGTATCTAGTTGTGATGGTCGCCGTGGGCGAGGTGCAGAGGAGGTGGTGGAGGTGGAGGTGGAGATAGCCATACTACAAACTAGTCAGCAGAGGATGGACGCCCATCTCCGATGTCGCATTGTCGCGTGTAGGAGTATTATTAACCCACTGCCGCATGGAGCAGAGGGCCTTGCCTGTCATGTGGAGTAAGCGGGCGCTGGAGTGACGTTGGGTAAGGCAGGATGGGGAGAGGAGGCCCTGTGCCTGTGCCTGTGCCTGCTGAAGGAGCTGGGAGCAGGCAGCGCAAGCGAATGGGGCTTGCCCTCCTCGTGCTTGCCTCTTCCCCCCCTCCCCCCCTGCCCTCTCATACCCTTTCATTCAGGGTTGATACGCCACACAGGAAAGGAGCCTCAGCGTGCAACCCCGCAATGACGTCGATGGTGTGGATTAGTCACCCACGCGACATGGGTTGGGGGATTGCTTTTTCGTCGGGGGGGGGGGGGAGGGGGCGGCGCTGGAGCTGGGCAGGCACTGGCGCAGGCACAGGCGCTGGCGCTGAGAGACAGAGAGAGAGAGAGAGAGAGAGAGAGAGAACGGGCGGCGCTGGTGGGAACGGGCGCGAGGGACGGCGGCGGCGGGCGGGCGCAAAAGTATTGAGGGCGTTTTTGAGCAGCCGGGCTTGTGGTGGTTTGGGCCATGACGGGCTTCTAGCTCGCAGGCTAGAAGGTTCGGGCAAGTCGGAGAGTCGGAGATGGCGCAAGCAGCTGGCTTGGCGGCAATCGGCACGCGTGATCGGTGAGGGAAGGGAGCGTTAGCGAGGGCAGTGAATGGTGTGGTTGAGCCAAAAGCGGGTCGGGGACGTGTGCGTGTGCGGTGCGTGTGCTGGGAGGGGGGGAAGAGACCCGCAGAACTCTAAATTTCGCAAGCTTGTTTCAGAGATGGAGAGGTTGCTGTCGTCTAGGCATGCATGGGGGATGGGAGATGGACGACGCATCGAGTAGTGCAGTTGGGAGAGGCAGAGCTGTCTACACTAGCTGTGCGTGCGTCGCCTAGCAGGAGCCGTCAGTGTCGCGCGGCCCACGCGAGCGCTGGCGAACTGCCGGCTCGTGTTGGAGCGTAGCAGCGACACCTAGGCCTCTGTCGCAACCATCGCTCCGTGGGTTGGTAGCGGGGCTTGCATGCACATCAACATCGTTTGTGTGGCCTCAGGGACGAACTACTGCTCGCCGTGTGTGGGCGTTGGGCAGGCTGCATTTCCCCCTCCCCCTTGACTCGGCAGATGGGTGGGCGACGTGTGTTTGGGGAGACAGTGACCCGCCACACACACACACACATAGGTGTACACACACGCGCGCGCCCTGGCCCGCGCATGCAATGCATGGCTGGTTGCGCAATCGCCAACACGGCAATGTGTCGCGACCTTGGGATGTGTGGATGGCTTGAGATTGCGCTGGGCGTGAGGGTGTGTGTGCGTGTGTGCGCGTATGTGTGTGTGTGTGTGTGTGTGTGCGACGAGTCTTGGGTCCTTGCGACAGGCCAAGCTTGACTGCAGCAGCCACCGCCAGGGCCTTGGGCGCGCCGACGATGATGCTAGTGGCTGGTTCCCGCTGGTGGCCCAACAGCGACCACAGGACGGGCGAGACGAGAGACACGAGAGACGAGAGGTGAGAGGAGAGGAGAGGAGAGAGGAGAGAGAGAGAGGCAGAGGAGAGGGCAGAGAGGGCAGAGAGGGCAGGCAGAGCAGAGGGCATTAGAGGGGCGAGCACGACGTGTTAGAGAGGGGCACGCCGAGAGGGGCGCTTGGTTACACAGCAGCGGCACGGCATGCTGGAGAAGATCAGGCTCAGCCGGCAACCCAAACCCAGGCACAGGCTCGCACAGAAACCGTCGCGCCGATGCAGACGAATAATAATACCGCCGCTCTCGACCTGCATGTGGCCATGATCAACGGCGCGCTATACACGGTTAGACGGGTGGGGGGGGGGCCCAGACGTGCATGCGGGCGGGCAATGGAGAGCGAGCGAGCGAGGGAGACGGAGAGGGAGACAGCGGGAGATGCAGCCAGATGGAGATGGGAAGCGATAGAAAGAGGCTGTTTCAGAAGGGCAAACGAATGGCTTCTCCGCGGGTCCCAAGACCCAAGGTCAAGCTTCGTTCATGTTCGGGTATGCAGTGGGGGGAGGGGGGGGGTGAATGGTTCCATGTGACATGACTGCTCCTGCTGCTGCTGCTGCACGGCCAGGCCAGCTACGACAAGAGGACGACGACGACGACGACGCCGACGCCGACATGCATTAGACGCCGACTGATGATGGATCATCATGTCGCTGTTGCTGCAGCATGGACAAGGACGGTGAAGGAGGGCCGCGACCTGTTCACTGCCTGCTGCCACTCACCACTAACTATTAACCTCGCGCTGCCCGCTAGCCACGGCCACGGCCTCTGCCTCTGCCTCCTCCTCCGCCGCCGCCGCCGCCTCCGCCCTCGCCGCTCGCCGTCGCATCCGGCACATGAAGCCGTAGCGCTGCAAGACGTCTGGAAATGAAGCACCTTTTCGGTCAAGACATGGCTGTCGCTGTCTCAGATAGACATGATCGCTCGCGCTCGAGGTGCAATAACGCTGCTGCTAGGCCCGATCCGAGGGCCGCTGCAGCACCTGCGGCGCAATCTGATCCTTTTCCCCCCCACCCGCGCCCCTCTAAACCACGACGCTCCCATAACAACAGTATGCGTAGGCTATTACGGTAGGGCAGGGCAGGGCAGGGCCGGGCAGGGTACGTACCATCACCTCCTCCACCACGCACTACCGAGTACGGCCGCCGCGCAATCTGCCCTGCCCGGCCCTGCCCTGCCCTGCCTGACGGCCTGGCGGGCTGCTTGCCTGGCTGGCTGGCTGGCTGGCTGCCCTGCCTGACTGCCCGGCCCTGGGCTGTCCTCGTCGCGGCTCGCGGCTGACGGCTTCTACGCCTAGTGCAGCCGACGTGCATCATTTTCCATGTTGCGAAACAAGACTTACCGACGCACTCGCTATCGCCCAATGTCCCCGCCAAGCCCATATCGACACCTCCCAAATGGGCTTTGCTAGCGCTGGTGGTACCTGGACCAGTCGTGGCCAGCCACTCGTCTGCGGAGCGGTGAGGCTTTTCGGAGGATTCTTGCTTTATCGAATAACGGGGGGGACCGCCATGGATAGCGCCCACTCGCCTTCAGCTGTCGTCGACGTGCTCGCGATGCCCACGAGCCTGTTGCGCCGCGACATGACGGCATTCGGATCTTCGGATCACCATGGGCAATGCTGCTGCCACTGCCACTGCCACTGCCACTGCCACTGCCACTCCCACCACGGCCCTGGCCCAGCCCGGCCCTGGCCCGACTCCCCTTTGCTCTGCTCTGCTCTGCTCTGCTCTGCTCTGCTCTGCTCTGCTCTGCTCTGCTCTGCTCTGCTTTGCTCGCCCTGCCCGACGCCACGAGCCCACTCGCACACTCGCACACACGCACACACGCACACCCACACACACAGCCACACGGAACAACAAGTCAAGTCGAGTCCGCAGAGAATGCGTCTACGTGGAGAAGAAAAAAGCAAAATGGCAAAAATACCACCACGACCCAGCTAAACGTGGCTGCTTCAGTCGGAGCGCCGGTCTACCGCCCATGGATGCAGTGAGGGTGTCGAGTGTCGAGCGTCTCGCAGCTGCGCGCCCACGTGCCGAGGAGACGTCGTGGTGGTGGTGGTGGTGATCGCAGCAGCGGTAGCGGCAGAGGCAGTGGCCGCGGTGGCAGTGGTGACGGCGGTGGTGCAAGTCTCGGCTGTGCATTGCCAGCTGCTGCCTCGGTACGTCGTGTGTAGTGTGGTATAGTGTGGTGTGGTGTGGTGTGGTGCGCTGCGCTGCGCTGTGCTGTGCTGTGCTGCTACTGTGAGCTGCGTGTATGTAGGGGTGTGGGCACAAACCTTGCCCGGCCTTCGTCGATCATGCCCGGGGTCAGGGACTTTTTTGCTATCCTCCGCAACGCGCGCTGGCCAGCCATGCTTCCGAAGTACCTCCACCGACCATGTCTACTACCTGCAAGTGACATTGCACCTTGGAGCACCTTTGCCGAACTGCTGCTGGTGCTGGTGCTGCCACTGCCGTGCCGCTTCTCCTGCGGCTACTGCTATGGCTCTGTCTGCCTGTCTCTGTTTCTTTCTCTGCCCCTCTTCCCCCCCTCCCTCGCTCTCACTCTCTGTCTACCGCCCATCCATCCGCCCGCACGCCTGCTGTCGCTGTCGCTGTCGCTGCATGCTGCTGCTGCTACTGCTCGGATCCGGGCGGGGGCGCGCGCCCACACCCACACCCACACACCACACACACACACACACACACATACACACACACACCTACACACACACACACACCCTCGCAAACTCTATCGTGGGCTCATGGCCGTCCATGTGTGTTTCATGCCGTGTGTTGGCCATGCATAAGAGCTGCTAAACAGCTGCTGTGTCTTAATCCGGCGTGCTGCAGACCCAAAGCCCATGGTCGGCACAGGGGGGGGCGGACGACTTGGTGAGCCCTCCGTCATTCGCAGGGCTTTCAATGCCGGCTTTCGGACGCTCGCCAAAAATGAGCTGAGAGAACAACGCATTGGCCAGAGAACAAGACCCAACTGAGCCAAAGCCACACGGTCGGTGGGCGCCCTCGCTCAGGGCCCCCCCCCCCACCCGCGTGCTGACCTCCCAAAGTGGCCGTAGTCCATGCTTGTCGAGGCGACAAGTCTTGACGCTTCTTGGCATGGCTCGGACTAATATTCACCATGCAGGGCTTCCACGTGCTGGTCCCCCCCTTCGCTCCCCCCCCCCCTCCCCCCTAGCGCGCACAGCCAGGCCCCGGTGACGCCTGCGCCCTTCCTCTTCCCTCTCTCCTGGTCCTTCTCGTCTCCTGGCCTCCTGGCCGGCGGCATCCCAGTACCCTGGCATCCCAGCCCTTCGCTTCACGTCGTCGCTGCAGGAGCCCACGCCATGCGCTCTTCAAACGTCACAATTTGTCCGTGTCTGTCGGCCGTCCCAACCCTCGCTACGGTCCGCAAACATGGCCAGCTACCTGACTGGCAAGCGGCCATGGCGACATCACAGCCCTCGTTCTTCCGTCTTATGCGTGCCCTTCCCTTCCTGAACCTGCACCCCCCCCCGGTGGGCCCCGCCCTGCTCCAAGTCTGCCCACCTCACCTTGCATCCGACCAGAGGTAGACCCGAGGCGTGTCGCGCAGGAACTCGGCCATGTCGCCCTTAGTGGGGTGCAATGTCCCAGCCTAGAGCCTGTACAGTAGCGCTCTTGCACAATCCGCCACCGCATGCCATGTCCCCCTTCTGCGGCGTGGGCGAGCCTTCCATGGCCCTGCCCGCTGGCTGCTGCCACCCAAGCCGTTGACGCTTGATTGAGTTTGGCCTGTCTTTGCTATCTTGAGCCACTGCACGCCCATGTCCGCGCCGCCCTGCTTCGCCCAAGCCCGGAACCCACTAACCTAGGAGCTAAAGTGAAACGATTTCCCCAGAACCCACGTTGTGTGGCTATCCACCCAGAGCCAGGATCAGCGTGCCAGCGCTAGCCTAGGGTCCAAGCATGGGACACAAGGACGCTATTCATCAGGCCCTGATAGCAGGTTATAGGCGCATGCCAGCCATGTCTTGCATCGCTCAGTCTTGTCTACCATTTCGTCTCGCCCGTTTGGCCTTGCCGCCTCATATTCGTTACTAAATACCCCGCTGTTGGTCTGGCATTGCCCTTCTACCCTCTTCGTCTCCTCTGTTCAAGAGTCCGACTCTTCCTTCTTCACGTCTTTCTTCTTTGCTTCTCCGCCTCCCCCCTCCTCTCCTCGACAACCAACGCGGCTCTCTCTCTCTCTCTCTCTCTCTCTCGTCCTCCACCCCCCCTCACCTCTCCCCTTCCCTACCAGAGCTCCGGCATCGCTCACACACTTACTTCCTTATTACATATCTCATAATTCCTCCCCCATCCCTCCAAACGCTTGGACCGCGTTTGTCTTGGAATCGGCTGACACAGCGAGGCTGCGAGAAGACCGTTTGGCTGCACCCCAAACGGCTGCGGCCCGAGACACCAAAAAGCAATTGGAGCGGCTCGGCCACCTCACTGGTGGAAACAACGGGGGGGGGGGGGAGATGTGGTAGAAACAAGCAAGAACAAAAAAACTCATTTACGTACCTGCGCCTTGCTCTGGGACTCCAAGGGTAGAAACGGCATGCGATAGGCGTGCACGGAGGACGGCATTTTCTTGCTCGAGCTCCTCGTTTCGTCTGATCAGGTCCATCATCTTGGTCGAAGAGTTGTTCTCCAGCTGGGCTGTGAGGTCACGCACTTGACGCTCAAGCGTGTCGATGTGGTCCTTTGTTCGCTGGCGTATGGCGCGCTGTGCCTCTCGGTCATTGGCTCTCTTTCTCTCCAGCTGGGCAGCAGTAAGGGTGGTAACGCTGCGTGTACCGGCCCTCGAGGGACGCTTCTTCGCACCGGGTGTGAGTTGTCTGGCCTCTGAGCCAGACGAGTGGCCCTCGTAGGGCGGGGATCTCTTCTGCTGATTCATGTGAGGCGAGTGGTAGGTGGAGGTACTCATGTAGTCACTCCTGTAGGCAATAGGGTCCCGGTAGTGAAGAATTGAAGTCATCGAGGATCCGCGAGAGGCGGTGAGAGTATGTGGGATGTCGACGTTATAACAGCCTTTTCCTTTTTTTGGTCAGTGTCTGTGTGTGTGCATGTGTGGGCTTGCTTCCCACAATGTGGTTGGGCCGCTCGATTCGGCGACGTGCATCATCTGTAACGGCTGCGTGCTTTTTTGCTCCCCAAGCGAGACAATGACGACGACTCTATAGCCCAAATCCCGTGTGACTGGCATGCATATTCGCTAACTCGGAACAACAGGGGCTCCATCACCCAGTGATCGCGTCCAGATGCTCAGCCAGCCCAGGAGAATGTCGACTGGAACTGCTCGAAGCGCACATTCAGTACCCGAGATTGCAACGCCCGTCTCACAACCCGCACATTGGCAGCCGCAGCACACGTATGCTCAGCATGTGTCTTCGCCGCATGTTGATACCCCGCCGGCCATGGGGGAAGTCCAAGCGTCTCAGCATGATGCTGTTCGCTGGAGCCCTCATCCTGGTCATGCGCAACAGCAACAGCAACAGCAGCAGCAGCAGCAACAGCAACAGCAACAGCACCACCAAGTTTCCATGCCCGTGCAGGATCCATCGGTTCATGCGGTGGAACAGCCAAACCTGTCGTACCCGAGCCCATATGTCATGGAAAGCAACGCGCGAGCCATGTCGTACCCGCTTGAGAACGCCTCCATGGTCACGTCTCAGCCCATGGCCATGTCAGGCTACGGCACGCCCACGTCACACCCGTCGCCGCACACTTCAGAGTACCAGCGACACATGAGCGTGCCCATGCACCACCAGCCTGTGCAGGGCCAGGCTCCGGCGCAGCACCAGCAGCACCACACGTCGGCTCCCTATGGCTCGTATCCCGTAGGGCCTCAGCAAGGCTACCCGCCACAGGTCAGCCACTCGAGCGAAATGCCCATGATGCACGCGCAGCACAACCAGTCGCAGATGCTCAACGAGCAAGGGCAGCACATCATGTACCAGCCATATCCATCCAACATGAAGGTCGAGCATTGAGGGCAGGCCGGCTCGTCCCAGCATGTTTGCAAATCCTTTTGTGGCTGCAGGCCCGTTGGCCACGCACAAGGCCAGGGTGGCAATCCTTCGTTCCCAGAGGCTCCAAATCCATACTTCGCTTCCAAGACCCATGTCGCAAACAAACAGTGTACAGGATGTTGTTCCTCAGACCCGACGACGGGCCATGTCGACAGTCGGAACCACGCGGCACTAGGCGGCACAGGGCGTGATAGGCCCTACTCTTCGGCGATATCACAAGAAAAGAAGCGCCCTGGCACTTCCCAAAGCAGTAGCACTGACCGTCAGTCCCTCTGGTCCATGACGGCAAGACAGCGATCCTACGGCAATTGTTAGGGACGACCAAGCCGCGATCCTTTGAATTTTTTTTTTCGCACGCTAGGTTGAGGCAGCGCGCATAGGTTGACGGCACGGCGGCGCCCCGTGCAGCTACTCCAAGCCCGAATTCGGACAATTTCGCATCCGTGTCGCAGTGCCCCCACGATGGCATAAAACACAATGAAACGGCAACACGGCTAGCCCCACTGGCAGACTATGGGATCAAATCAGCTTTGGGACGTCCATGCGCACGATGGCAATCAAAGACCCACAGCTAACGCTATCGATGGCACGCGCAGCTAGCGCAAGTGCGTATGTGAGGGAGCAGCGTACGGGTGGCCCAGGCGAGGGACGGTGAAGAGGTGGATCTGCTCGTGGCCGTGGCCGTGGAAGCTTCTCAGAAGACGGGAAATGAGCGATGGAACATTCCGCGGATCCTCAGGTGGTCCTGTTGCACGGGAGCGAGAGCGGTCGCGAGATTGGAGAAGGGTTGGGCGTCGGTTGCTGGCCTGGGGTTCTCTGTGGCACTCGCGTTAGCTGCTCTGGGCGCCCGATTGGGACTGATCCCTGAAGCCGCAATTCACCCGAGGCTTCCCGACTTCCGACCGCCGCCCTCGCCCTCGCCCTCGCCCTCGTGCTCGTGCTCGCACTCGCACATACGCACACGCGCACACACGCACGCGCACACGCACACGCACACACACACACACACGCGCGCGCACATCACACGGGCGGCGGCGCTGGCGCACACTGCGAGTGCGAGGGACAGCGTGCCGGCCGCCCAGCCAGCCAGCCAGCCAGCCAGCCAGCGAGACCCACCCACACGCGCGCGCGGCACCCGTCCAGAGGCTGCGAGAGTTTCCCTCGACCACAGCACCGGCAGCCTACTACCCAGACTAGTCGCGGCGCTGAAACGTGGAAGGCCAAATGCAGCCGCGCCCTCGCCAGCACCCACGACGGCTCGTAGCCTCACGTCGCGCACCCTCTCGCGCCCTCTCGCGCCCTCTCTACTCTACCCACGACGGTCGCTGCCATGTCGCCGGCACTACTGGGCGGCAGTGGCCACTAGAAGCGCCGTATGACCGAGGCCAGCAGAAATTTTGGTGGCTCGTCGCTTCTGGGGGGGGGGGCCATTGTGCTCAGTCGCCAAGCTGAGGGTGTGGAGTCTATGCGTGGCTTCCCGCGGATCCGAACACATGGGCTCGGGCACGCTTCCAACCAATGGCAGCCGAGTGGGGCCCGCCTTTCCACGTTCTTGTCTTCAATGGGAAGCGTTCCCGACACGCTCCCTGCGCTGTGGATATCAGCTCACCGCATCATCCCATCCTCCCTCTACGCTTCATGGCTGCTGCCGTCGAGTGGTGTGCTGGTGTGTCACACCGCATGAACGCCGGGGGGTCTTGACAGCATGCAGACGAGCCGTTGCGCCCGGGTTTCACACTGGTTTGCATTGCTACTATACGCCTCTACGCCCTCGTCACCATCGCTGCTTGCTGCTGCCCGCGAATCTGTTTCAGCTGCTCTGCATACCATCGCTCGCCTACGTCAGGATGGCTCTTGATCCGGTTCATGAGCGTCGCCTCGCCCAGGTGGCCCCATCGCCCCTTGACAAAGGTAAACTCGACGTCGTCCCTTGGCTGCTTCCGAGCCTCGTCCCGCAGCCGCACTACCTCGTCGGGCACGTCCATGGCCTCAAACCGCGCGTCGTAGCTTACGCCCTGGAAGAAGGGCACAGAGTACCGTGCCCCTTCTCCCTTGCGTGGACTGAGGACTCGATGCGTGGTTGACGCGCAGACGCCGTCCGTCAAGGCTTCCATGCCCTGTCCTATAGCCACTACCAGAGTGCCTGGTATGGGCGGACAGTCTATCCACTCGCCTCTCGCATTTTGCGCCTGCAGTCCCCGTTGATTGGACGCTTGCAGCAGATAGCTGGTTAGCATGCTATCCTTGTGTGGGCCAACGCCTTGCCGCTTGACCTCCCACTTTTTCCGCTCCATCTCAGTGGCTCCTGGCGGCAGGTCGGGCACATGTACCTCGGGATACTTGACAATCTTAAGCTTGTGCTGTTGGTCCGGGTCAAAGAACTTGTCAAACGCGGTAGGGGGAAGCCCAATGGCCTCGGCAATGAGCGACGTGAACAAGGTAGCAATGTGCGACATGCGTCGTATGTAGTCTTCGTACACTGGCCGGAAGTCTGGCAGATAGTCTGGCGATGGCCATTGGTTTGGGGCGAGAAGGTTGTGATAGATGGGGGCATCAGGGCCGGGAACAGGGTGCGGAGTAGAGAGGTCGAGTTGCTCTCGATGGTCTGGATTCAAAGCCGTGGTCTCATTATCGACCTGCAGAAACACAAAAAAGGAGGAGCATGTCAGCATGCCAGTTCTCGAACAGAACAACGAAGAAAGAAGAAAAGACGCAAACGTAACGACGAGTCGAAGACATTGTAATAAACACGCACGACCACAAAGGACAAAAAAAAGTATATGCTTGGACGGGAGAGAGAGAAACGAGAGGGAGAGAAGGAAACAAAAAAAAGAAGGAATGTAATGGCAGCGGAAGAGGTAACTTTGCGCGTACACCATCGTTTGTTCGTGTTTTGGAAACGGATATACCCTGATGATTGATAACATTTTAGTGCTTTTTTTTGTTGGTTTGTTCGTTTTGGTCGGCAAAGTGTAGTAGTTTGTTGAGCATACGGGATGGGTAATCTGCCGCTTGTTTTTTTTTGGGGGGGGGGTTTCTTTCTGCTATGCGTTATGGGATTCACGGCCGGTTGTTGTGCGGGGGAGATTTGTTTTTTTAGGCTGGCGGGGAAGGGGGGGGCGTATCCGATTCAACTCTTGTGTGTGTGTTTTTTTTTTGCCAAACTCCTTCTTTGTATCATAGTTTCCTTGACATATACATACATATACACATATATACGTACCTCAATTAAGGTAATTGCTGCTATTTTTTTTATCCAACAAAAAAAGGCTGCGTGGCATATCACATGACGTCTGGGGTGGTTCAGGGCGGCTTTTGCATCTGATAAGGATAAAACATAAGGCTGAATTGATGGTGGTGCTGCATGGCACGTGCATGGGATAGGGAAAGACGGAGGAGTGAGCGAGTACTTGGAGAAAGCGGCATGGCCAAAAAAAAAAGAAGAAACAAGAAGAAGAATAACAAGAGGAGAGTGGAAAAATCACTCACCCTCGACCAGCTCAGAAAACTCTTTTCATTCTTCATCTCAATGCGCTCCTTTTGGTGCAGCGGCAGCGTGTCGAAAAAGGCGACGCACTCGCGCACAACGCCGTGCACCACGTCGTCGGGCAAACCCGTGTCGGTCAGATAGAGGAAGCCGACGTGCAGCAGGGCGGAGCGCAGGTCGGCCAGGAACTGGGGTTTTGTGTCGGGAGACAGGGCCGCGCTGAGGGGTAGGATGGGGAGGTTGGTGAATGTTTCGAGTGGTGGTGGGGATGCCATGGTCGGACGGATGGATGGATGGATGGGGGGATGGAGAAGGATAGGATACTAGGGATTACAAAAAAAATCTCTCTCTTCTTTTCTATTGTTTCTTATCTTTTTCTTTACAGGTTCCTTTCAATAGTGTGTCTGTCTGTCTGGATGTATGTATGTATGTATGTATGTATGTATGTATGTATGTATGTATGTATGTATGTATGTATGTAGTGGGTGTGTGTGTGTGTGTGTGTGTGTGTGTGTGTGTGTGCTAATGTCGCCATGTGGCGTGCTGCGGGGTCGAAAACCACACAAATGGGCGATATCGGGGGAGGGGGGGCTCAAAGTGAGGCTCAATCGTTGCACTGCGTTGGCCTCTGTCTCTCTCCCTCCCGCCGTCCGCCGCCCATCGCTGTCCGCCGCTCCCTCCCCCCCCCCCACTCACACACACACACGCGTGCGCCATCCGATGCGGCGGGGTAAAGACAGTCCATGGGCTTTTTTGTACGCCAACACGTGTTCGCAGTGGTCGGTGTCTTTTTTTCTTCTCGAATATCTCATGTTCCACGGCTGGGAAAGACGGGAATTTTGATTATTATTATTATTATTATTATTATTATTATTATTATTATTGATACCGTGTTTTCCACGCAAAGGCCAGGCCGAGAGCAGTCAGCTTGAGGCTGCCGATTACGAGGACGCTGAGGGCCGCTTCGATCACCATTTTGGGGCTTGCTTGGGAAATTTGCGAAATACAAGTATGTGTGTGTGAGAGAGATTCAAGATTGATTTGGATATGGATAGAGCAAGAATAAATCTACTGACAAAAAAAGGCACAAGACTTTATATGTTCATGTGCAAAACACGTCCAGCTTGATTGACGTTGTCCCGCCACACACACACACACACACACCATGACCTTTGCACGGGATGATGGGGCAAAAAAATCAATCATGAGGGAGCAGAATCGTGATTCACCAAGACGAACAGCGTGTCTCGGGGGCCCAAGGAGAGACAGCAGAGGAAGGATTGCAGCTTGTGTACATGCGCTGGCCACGGGCAACATGGACAGGATGGCTTATGCGCGATGAAGTATGCGTGTGGCGTGCCCATTGGGGCGCGTCTGCAAGACTACGCAAGCAGCACATGTGCGTGCAACGGGGCCAGCAGACGGGTCCATGGAGCGCATAGCTGCGATTGATTGCTTGACGGGCTGCTTAGTGCAGACATGGCTGCGTATCACGCAGAGGGCGGTGCAGGTGTAGCGATTGGATCCATGTTCCAAAAGGGGGCCTGGGTGGTCAGGTGTCGTGTTGCACATGTGCCGGGGTTGCTCTGGACGCGCGCAATCTTGCTTTCGCATTCGTGTCCCCAAGCATGAGGTTGGCTTTGCAATATCAGACGGCCGCATCGAGTACATGCATGCGTTGGGTATGGCCGCAGCAGCGGCGGCATCAGCGGCAGCGGCAGGTTGGCGTCGTCGTTGTCGCTGCGGCCGTCGCCGTCGTCGTTGTCGTGGTGAGTAAAGGGTGGTGGTGGTGGTCGACGCCAGCCCAGCACCCGCACCACCACCAGCCCCAGCACCAGACGGGCGCCCCACTTTTCCCTTGGTGGCTGGCGCTGGCCGCCCACGCCCGGCGGCGATTTGGTGGCAGCAGAACGCCCGTATAAGCTGTATTTGCTCTTGGAGCCAAGCGCCTGACCACGCCGCCGTGAACATGGGAAAAAGGGACATGGCCTCGATATTAACCAGTACCGCCGAATCACACGCATCTCTAAGCCCTGTGCTTCTAGACCCACCGCGTAGCCCATCCGCTTTACAGTGCCCACTTTTTCTACTACCCTATACGTGCACATGCATGCGGATATGCGACGAGACCACCAGTCTCCTCGGGATACTTTCGTCCACAGTCACCCCGAAGTCCATCCATCCACCTCGCGCTCGCAACCACAATGCCCACGCCGTCGAGCCGTGCCCGCCACCCGCGCCCACGACGCCAGCAGTAGCGCGCAGCAGGCATCATGCCTCGACGGCCGCCATGCCACCCTCGCCGGGCTACTGAGCAGCAGCATGCAAATAAAGACACAAAGGGTCCAGCAGCGAACCACCCTACGGACAGAATTACAGCGAAAAAACCTCCGGCATCCTGGTCTGTCATCAGCTTCGGTCCTAGCTGCCACGCCCTAGCCCCTTCCCGCCTCCACATGCCTCTGCTACCGGCCCCCGGCAACGTTACACAATCTACATGGGATGCGAGCGCCCACAGTGGGCTCGTCCACTGGCCACCTCCGTCAGCAGGCAAAGAAGATGAAGGGAACCCAGAACAAGGCACGCTGCACGCATGTCGCAGATCATGTCCTGGGCCGGATGCTTACGTCGGAGAATAGAATTCAGCAAGGGAACCGCACCATGTACATGTACAGGCATGCCCGCCATGCCATGCCATGGCATGCCTTGTCATGGCGTGTTGTGTCAAGCCAAGCAAAGTCAGCAATGTCGACTAAGCAAAGTAAAGCAACAAAGAAAAAAAAGACATGGCACAAGGGAAACACATAGCGAGGCTGCTATGAAGCACCCTCTCCTGCCGCCATGCTATGCTAATGTAATGTCAAGCACAAAAAAAAAGGACACCGCGTAGCACACCAGACTTGTCGTCCCACTACACACTCCAGCTAGTGGCTGTCATCCACCAGAAAAAAAAACCACTCTCCCATACCCTCGCAACCCACATAGCTCACCATGTATCTACGTACTTACTACACACGACGCCCTGCTCCCAGCACCGTCAAAAGCCACCTATGTAAATAATTCCAAATAACCCTCCACTGCCCTACCGTATCCGACCCGACCCGACCGCAGGTTCCTCTCCACCCTTTGGCTCCACCCTTTGGCTCGGTATACACACCCAGTTCAGCCTGGCCTGTCCCGCACAGTCCGCTTGGACCCTCACCCTTTCTCTCTCTCTCTCTCTCTCTCTCTCTCTTTCTCTCCTTCTCTCTTACTGTATCCTCTCTATTCTCATCTCTCTCTTACAATCTACTCGACTCGCACCCACAGACACACAGACCCCCATCATCGCAACCGAGAGAGAGCAACACAAGCCCCCCTTCCCTCCCCTCCCCCTCCGGTCCCCACTTTTATTTCCCATCTATTTTTTGCTGCCCTTGTAGTGCCCTTTTCGGCACGGAGCGGAACCAAAGCCAACTTTTTGCAAGTTGTCCGTATTCGTTCACTGCTATAACGTATGTGTATAGGTGTACGTATGCGTATGACTGCCAATCGATACTTTGTACACAGGCCCCATGGCCCTGAGAGAGAAAAAAACACGCCACTGCTACACTAGGTCAAACAGCGGACCCCCACCCTGCCTTCCTCTTCCGCCCCGCCGCCGCCGCTGCACCACCCACCCTCCCCCCTTTTACATCGAGTGGGTGGCGACAACAATGGCGGCGACGACAGCATAGTACACGGCGCGACAGCACAGAATGGGATGGCCAATCCGAAGCCAAGCTCAACCAAGGAACACGCACGCCAGCTAGTTCCTATTGATTGAGACATGTTTAGCTACACTGATACCTACATACGCGACCTGAGTACCTATGTACCTCCGTACGTGCATGCAAGTACGTAGGTATATCACGGCGTGTTAAGCAAGGAAAGTCGCAGAATCGCACAAGCGAGGCGTATCTAGACAAACCAACGACATGGCCCCGGAGATTGGCCATATTGCACCCGCGCGGGCGCGCCCCCAGATAGTTCAACAGAAAAAAAAACAGAGAGGCCGGCGGTATTAGCCCACCCCCCCTCCCCTTTCCCTTCGGGCAAGTTTGAGCTACGATACACACACGCACACACACAGAGAGAGAGAGAGAAGCGAGGCAAAGATGGGGAAGGGGGGGGGAGGAATCAGGAAAGTAACGCTAGACGTCAAAAGTCAGACCAGAAAGACTTGGTATTCCCCATGCGTTAACATGACACGGCACGCCAACACTCGTCGATCGTTCGGTCGGTCGGTGAGGCCGGCCATCGGGTCGGTAACTTCCTTAGTGGTCATGATGATGATGGCTCCTCTCTCGTCCTCTGGATTGCTACCGGAGCTACTACCTACACTGACTGATTGACTGAATTGACCGACCGACCGACTGACTGAACGAATGATCAGAGTCTTGTTCTGGCCAGACTCTTCTACTACTTGTTCTCGGTGTTTCTGGAAGCCTGGTATTGGCACCGGAGCTATCTAACCACCTAACACTATTGACTCCTCACACTAGATACTGACTGACCGACAGACCGACAAAGTGAGTGCTTTTTTTTTCTCTCTCTCTCTCTCTCTCTCTCGCTCTCTCTCTTCCCTTGTGGCCTGAACCTTGTTGCTTCTTCGTCTCGGTGTTTTCTCAAAGCTTCTCTCTACTTGCAGTCTAGTATGCTGTCTCGTCGTACATGCTGCACAGCTCGTGCACCCACATGTGTGCCTGTCTACATGTGTGTCGGTGTATGGTGTATGGTGTGTGTGTGTCGCATATACTACTTACTGTCAGTATGCTATGGTAACAGTTACACAACAAGTATTACCGCTCCCTATACTATACCTTAGAAAACAAGTCTATAATAATATTCCTGGCCCGTTGTGATAAAAAGGCAAAAAGGGCGGAGTGCCAGGGGGGGAAAGAAAAGGGCCAGGGTACCTGTGTCACATGCCACGACACTGTATGCCATTCTTCTCAAACCCCCCCCCCTGCTTGCCACCTCCGCTGTGGATGCGCATTGCTGAACCTGTTTCTGTTTCCACCTCTATGCGCCCCCCTGGACTCCGATATGCAAGGGGCCGACGACGTGGGCCGACCATCGAGTCGTGTATGTGCATTGCATCGCTAAGACCTATACTATGGGCATTAGTCTTACTAATAATGAAGATCTCGCTGTGACTCAAGTGGAGCTCCAGCTGCACCACCGATCGGTATGTGGGGGAGAAAGCGCCGCCGAGGGGGGGGGGGGGGGTTTGGCATGCTGGTGGCTATAATGGCCATGATATTGACTACTAGACAGTGGAGAACATGAAGATCTAGAGCAAAGCAAAAGTCATTAGGCAAAAAAGCATCCTCGACGCTGAATCATGATCGTTTGGAATACAGTAGCACCTCCTGAACCGTCCTGGAAACCTAGTGTCGTAACCTCATTCTTCGTGAAACTGTCGGCATAGCAAGCCTACCAGCCCCTCTACCTCTTCTCTCGGGGATAGTATGCTGGCTGGTGGTCAATCGACTCTCCAACGCCCGTGCGGTAGCTGGGTGGCGGTCCGCCGAAAGAAACCTGGCCACCAGGCGTAGGTGTCGAAGACTGGTGGGGAGGAGCTTGTGTGTTGTTGGTAGCGCCATACTGCCCGTTCATGTTGGGCTCAAACGTGCCCCCATCGCCCCCTCCCACCATGACTGTCTGCTCGTTGCCCTTCTTGTCCTTGACCTTGCCAACCACCATGCCCTTGGCTACAGACTTGAGAATCGCCTTTCTGCTAACGCCCGTGACATCAATGTACACGAGGCCAACGTTCTTAACACCGCCAGCAAGGTTGGTCGTGATTTGTCCCGCTTCCGCACCGTACTTGTGTCCTACGGCAGCACTGGCGGCAGCCCCACCACTGGTCAAAAGCTGCTTGCCAGAGTGCGTGATGCCATCAGCAACGGTTGAGAAGGCGATTAAGCTCTTGTTCAGCAGACCGGGCTTGTAGTTTGCGTTTGGTGTACCGTCAGGGTTCACACTCCTTGCATTCGTCTTCTTGTGGCCCGTCATGCCTGCTGCTGCGTTTTGGGCGTATTTTGAGATTTGGCCAACCGTCTTAGCGGAGTAGCCAGCAACGCCAGTGGTGAAGGTGTTGATCTTGCGCACGCGCTCATGGGTGGCAGGCTTGAAGACCATGGGCGTCTCGTTGGGCTTGGTCTTGTTGATGAAGCTCTCCGCACCAGATACCATCATGTTACTAAGGTAGCTGGAGCCCGTAACAACGAGCCGCGATGCTGCAGCGGCATTCTGCACCAGGCCAGAGTCCTTGTATGCGGGATGGCGGGCCATGTCGAGGTAGTCTTCATCAAGCGGTCTAATGTCGATGCGCTTGCCGTCTTGCGATACCACAATCTCAACGGGGTCTTTGTCTGTATTAGCATAAGTGAAGAGAACGCGCACAAACGGCCATGGGCAACTTACTCTTAGAACCCTGCTTCAGGGCTGGGTCGGCATGGACATGGGCGCCCTCGGCCAGCTCACCAACGATGCTGCCATTCTCCTCGTCGACCAGAACCACTTCGCCATTGCCGCTCTTGCCTACGTAGCCCTCGCCGGGCCGGTAGTCCTGGGGGTTGTATGCCTTGACGTCACCCTTGCCCTTCCCGTGCGTCGGCGCCTGCGCGCGCTCAAGAAAGGCTGTGCATTGTGCCAAGATGGTCTCAAAGGTGTCGATGTCTTCCTGCGTGACCGAATTCGAGCCCTTGCCAATGGGAGGAAACTCAATGCGCGTAAAGGCGCCGCTCTCGGGGCCCAGGTCCCATCGTGGTATCAGGTAGCTCCGCGGGGGCTGGTGGTAGATCTGTGTCGTCGCGGGGAGGGGCAGGTCGAGCTCGGGAGGGAGATTGAGGTGCAGGTAAAAGTCTTCTTCGGGCGCCTCGTTCTGGCCGCGTGCGTTGCTGAAGTCGGCAAAGGGCGAGTTGGTGGGCACCATCAGCAGCGACAGCGTCTGCGGCCCCGAGGGCGTCAGGGGACTCTCCTCGCCCTGCTGGATGTGGTAGGCCTTGATGCCGCCGATGGTATAGAGTAGACGAGGATCGCCATGGCCGCTCATGTTTGTGGCGGAGCTGCGCGAGGGGTATCAGGGTGCAGTGTGAGGAGGGCGCTCGTGTGGGCGTGTGTTGGTGATGGAGGAGGAAGCAGGAAAGCAAGCAGGCGCTCACGAAAGCAGCGAACAAAGAGGGGTATCGTCTATTGTGGCGCACGAGGACAGGAGGGGTGTCTTTATGGAAAGGGAAATGCAGGCGCAGGCGCAGGCTGCTGCATGTGGTGTTGCGGCGCTTGCCTGGGCGGTTACGTCTCCTGGGGCAAACTCGAGGCTTGGTTCCAGGTGATGTCATGCCGTGGTTGGCCCAAACCACCGCGCGACCTGATGCACGGGCCCTTTGCCGCTTCACAGCCTTCGAGGCGCAGCACTCCTGACACCGTCATTCGCAATGCCTTTCGTGGGCATGCTCCATTGGGCAATTCATCAGCTCGCTCGACAACCGAAACTTTTGCAACGGCCCTGCCAGCTACCAAGATTCGCCGTCTCCTTGGGCCCAGAACAGACACTGCCTCGAAAAGAAATGCTGATGGAACTATGTAGACGAATATGTCACGTGCCATGACGATTGACCCTAGCAGCCACTATTCGCCATCCTGCAATCCAGAGAGGCGTACACCCAAGATCTTCCAAAGAAAAACCAATCACAGACATGCGCTATCACTGCCGGGCCACTCTCTCTACACGCCGCCTCAGTGGCAGTATGCATCAATCTGAGCATCAGAAAGCACATGGCTCCCGCCCGCACATCTATACCCACTTGACTGCTTGATCCACATGTAACCAGCTGGACACGGCCCCAGCATGCGCAACTTGCTCTGTCTCTCCTTCTCCTTCTGGCGCTCCCTCTCGAGCGCGGCCAACTCCTCTTGTCGACGCCTTCTCTCAAGTTCAGCTGCAATACGTGCCTGCTCCCTTACCCGTCGCTCCTCGTCGTCAGCTGCGGCCTTCTCTGCGCGAATAAACTCTTTGATACGCTCTTCCTCTTGCTGCTTCTCCTCTTGCAGACGACGGAACTCTTGTTCCTTGGCAATCATGGCGTGCTTGTCACGCTCGAGCTGTTCCCAGTCTTCGTCCGACACGTCGGGATCGCGCTTGACTTTTAGTATGGATCGAAGAGCGTCTTCGGCTTCGCCTACGGGTTCTGACTTCTTCTCGGTTGGCTTTGCTGCGTCTTCTTGCTCTTCGGTTTTGATGGCTGTGCATGGCGGCGCTTGAGGCGGAGAAGCGGTGTTGGTTGCGGTATTCAGGGCTGGTGGCGTGGCATCTTGCGACTGTGGTGGGAGTGCTGGTCGCAAAGGCAGCCGGTTAGCGAAGCGACTTGTGCCCACAGCAGCGCTGCGCCGAGAGCGTTCATTCAGCATTGCCTCCATCGTATCAATGACGATGCCTTCGGTAAGGACGAGACTGGTGATGGGAGGAACAGCTGTGGAAATCAGTTTCTCAAACATCTTCTTTGCAAGTGACTTGACATCGCGGGCATTGCCCCACGACGCTAGCACCGACAACTGTCTGAAAAGCTCCAGCGACCGTTGCTTGAGTTGCTGTGAGGGCGCATCGATGACAGAGAGATCGAGTGGTGCCTTCTTCTTTTTCTGCATGCTGCCGAGCGCCTTGTTCAGGAGCTCAAAGCACATCTCTGGTTCCAGATGCTTGAAAACCACGGTTTCTGGGAACCGGCTAGAAAGACCAGGATTCATGCTCATCAACCGATCGATATCCTTGTCGTAGCCGGCCAGGATCACAACAAGCTTCTGCGCGAACTTTTCTTTCGTCAAACAATCGACCAACTCATCCATGGCTTCAGTCGCAAAGCCACCTTCGGCAAGTCGATAGGCTTCATCGATGAAGAGAACTTTGCCCATTGCCTTCTCCATTAGCTTTTGCACTTTTGGCCCGGTTTGACCAACATATTGCCCAATTAGGTCAGTTGCGGAGCATTCTTCTACCTTTGCTTGACTGAGCAAGCCCATATCGTAAAATATCTTACCCATTTTTGCCGCCGTCGTCGTCTTTCCAGTCCCCGGTGGGCCTTTGAAGAGGAAATTGAAAGGCAGTTGGTCGCGGGGGTTCATGCCAAGAGCTTTCATGTTAGCAGCAGTGGTTTGGTAGCCGCGGAGCTGATCAATCAACTCTTCACAACCCACAACATCTTGAAAGAGCGCCGCTAGGTTTGTCGTAGCCCGATCAATCCGATCAAAGTCTGGATCAAAGTCAATTGCCTCGAACTTGCCAAACTGCTTCACTTTGTGAGCGGAAATGTGCTTCTGGTGCAGTGCCTTGGCACGATCCAGAATGATATCGACCTCTCCAGCATTTCCAAAGTTCGGACGATTACGTGCGCGCTCGATGACGTCCATGGCGACCTGCAAGACAACGCATAAGCATTTTCCAAGGCCAAACGCTTTGGCTCTTACCTTTCTGGCTTGATCCGTCGCCTCAAACCCAATGTCCTTCAGCTTGAGATCGAAGATGCGCCGTATTTCTGCCCCATTGAAATCCTCAAACACAAAGGCAGACTCGAGCGGGAAACGCCTTGCAAGCCCGGGATTGACGTCTCGGAACATGTTTTCCATCTGGTCCTTGTATCCCAGTAAAAGTACGCACCGATCTTCGCCCGGCGTGCTCTGGACTTCAGCGACAATCGTATCAATGACTGCGGTTTTGAAGTGATCTCCTGCCGCACCAGAAGCAAGCATGTAAGCTTCGTCGATGATGAGAACTTTGCCAACAGTCGAGGCTAGAATGGCCTTTGTGTTGGCTTCTGACCCACCCAATACATTACCGACAAAATCTGCTGGATTTTTGACCACAACTTCGCCACTGGAGAGAAGTCCAATATCAGCCAAGATACGACCGAAGAGTTTGGCTACACTTGTCTTTCCTGCATTCCACAAGTCAGTAATTTTCCAGATACCACTACCACCCGTGCGTGGGCTGTATTACCTGTTCCTGGTGAACCAATGAAGCAACGGTTCAGTGAATACTGAATGATAGGCTTCTCTTTCAGTTCGAGCTGGTAGTTGGTCTGTAACCCGTCGAGGAGAACTTGTACCGATTCCTTGACAGACTTCAACCCGATGAGTACTTTGAGCTTCTTCCATGCAGCGTTGTTCATCAGCACCGAAGAAGGCTCTGGGCCTATAAGATCTTCTTTGGTCAACAAATTATCATCCGGCATTTTGCCAGCTCTTCGCTGCTTGTGAAGGCGCTTCGCCTGGCGTTCTGTGATTTGTGAAATCTTATTCTGCACTTCCCGCGCATTGCCAAAGCCATCGCGACCGCGACCACGGCCGATTCTTCGAGCCACAATGCGAACGTAGAGACCGTCCACGCCGTCTTCCATTCTCATTCTCCCTTTATATTTCTTGTCAATGTATTGGCAAAAGATCTTCTGTAGCTCACGATCCTCATAGTCTTGGAACTCCATCCGAATTGGTATGCGGCTTGGGATACCAGGATTATGGGAGAAGAAGGCCTCCATTTGCTTGTGATAACCCGCCAGCACGAATACGACTTTGCCAGTCAAGTTCTCAATCTCTGCGAGTAGGTAATCCAGCACGGCTTTGCCACCGGGAGAGTTTCCGGAAACCAGTTGATAGGCCTCATCGATGAAGAAGACGCCGCCGCCCTTTTCTAGGATCGTGTCTATTTGGCTTTTACACGCGGATACTCCATCGTTTGCGAGCGCCGATCCGGAACTCTCAATGAAATGATCTCCAGGCAGAGCTCCAACTTCGACCAGGAACTTGGCATAGTGACGAGCCACGGTTGTTTTACCTTGGGCACGTTAGCAATTCATCATTCAGGCATGTGCAGTCCATACCGGTCCCTGGATTTCCTAGCAGGGCTGCTCCGAATCGTTCTCCTTTCAAGTCGACATTCTGACGAACTGCAGTATCGACTTTCGCTTTTATTGCAAGGAATTGCTGTTTGACAGACTCAAGGCCTAATTCAGGTCAGCGCATGCATATTGTGAAGGCAAGTAAGCGCACCAATCATAGACACAAGGGTATCAAGTACGTCACTCTCAGAACCTTCGAATTTCTTCTGCCATTCCCAATCATCTCTTGCTTCACTCTTATCCCAATCAGGCTCACTTTCGTTCTGATCCGAAGCAGCGGACTCGTAGTCGGAGTTGGAGTCGGATGTAGCCGCATTTGGTTGAGCGTTGGTAGTTTTCGGAGCTGCTGGATTCTGGCGCGGTGTATCAGTCCTGACCGATGGCTTTGCGGAGGAAGTCGGCTGTGGCGGTGGTGGAACTGGTTGCTTTGCAGGACGCTTGAGCTTCTCTTTGAGATTGTGGAGATCTTGCATCTTCTGGTCTAATGCTTGCTGGCGTTGCTTCTCTTCATTTTGGTCTCTCAGAATACGCCTCTTGTGTTCAATCTCTTCTTCAATCTCCGCCAAACGTGCAGCGTAAGCCTTCTGCTTGGCTTGACGTTCCTCATCCAACTTGTGGTCTCGTTGCCGTTTCTTTTCCCGCGCCCGCACTTCAGCCTCGCATTTCTGACAATGCGCCGCAGCTTGGTTATGGCATTTCCTCTTCACTGTATGCTGGTTGGGGCACGTAGAAGAGACAATGGCTTTACACTGCATCTTGGAATGATCCTGCAACTGATGGCATCTTTGGGGGCATGTGTGAACGCCGCAGTTGAGTAGTTTGCCACTAATCTCATTAGTTTTGACAAATACCTCTAGGAATGAGACTTACCATGGCTCAGAGCAGCCTCCATCAGGACACACTTCATCAAAATGTTCCTTCTCAGTTAGGAGTGCGGTCTTTTCCGGATGTTGTTCGCACTTGACAGGAAAGCCGTCATAGACATGACCCTCTTGTTTCAGCTGGCTCATAAGAGGGACCCATACTTCCTTGCCTTTGCGACTATTCATGAAAGTCTCTGGATTGCCAATCATTATGAGAGCGTTGCGTGCTCGTGATAGCAACACATTCACACGCTGAGGGGATGACATGAAGCCAATGTCGCCAACGTTATTACTCCTTGTGAGACAGGCAATGACTATATCACTCTCTTCACCCTGGTAGTTATCTGCGCCATGTCAGTGCTTATTAAGAACATATTGACATCCCGAAACACAGGCGTTACCATCCAATCCGAAATGACTGAACACCCCAAGTGCAAAGTTGTTGTTTAGAAAAGAAACGCGTCTACTCACCAATGGTAGATATGCGTAGTTTGCGTTTGGTGATGTTTGCGCCAGCCGGTGTCAGTAGGCCCGCTTGTATCAGTTCGTGCGAGTCCAAATCGTTCAATATGGGATCGTTGTCTTCAGAAAGGGTTTTCAGCAACAAGTACAACTGGCCCAGGTATGGAGTCAATACTACAATCTCATCCGTACCATAACCTTGTTGTCCGAGGTATCGGACGCATTTGAGAACCATGTCGGCTTCATATGCATTCTCCTTGCTGGATTTGGCGCCGCTATCACGTCGGTCGGCAATTTGTAACGCGTTGAGCTCTGGGCGTGAATGAGACACAAATATGACGTTGTTTTGGAAACCGCGCAATGCTGGTCGGCCTTGGGTTTTCTCGGCATCTTCCAATTCGGGATATGTGAGAGATCTGACGAGGCGTGATATTTCGGGCCGCATGCGGTGCTGTTTGACAAGTGTAGTATGCGGAACGCCACTAAGCACCAACCGTTCAAATAAAGAGACGTTGAGGTCATATCCATCGCCTTTCTCCACGGTCAAGTCGTAATTGTTTACCTTGGGTCGAAGTTGCTTATGATCGCCAATCAAGATGAGTTGCTTGGATGATGGAGACAGTGCTGTCAGTACATGACTCTCGAGTATCTCTCCAGCTTCTTCCACTAAGATTATGCCAGGAGAGGCTTTTCTGATCTCTTCAGTGTACATAGCAGCAGCCGTGGTTGTACATCCAATGACACGCTTGTTGTTGAGCACGTGAAAGTCCTTTTCGCGATACAACCCGTCGATCTGAGTGCGGCATTTGTTGTACCTTTTAAACAAAGTGGCAGTCTCGGCGGTGTGTTCCTTCAGGATTGCTTTTCTCCACTGTGTTTGCAAGTGCTCCCGCTTCAGTGATGTGACTTGCCAGATATGTGCCTGATATTGCATTGCATGCTCAGCATATATTCCAGCATCCTCCCCTTTCAGCCACCTCTTGATCAGATAGTGTTTGTCAATCCGTTTGTTCTTCTTTCCAACAACTTCCATATCGTCATCGCTTTGGGGAACGACGAATGCATCGAAATATTCCGAATCGTCTGAAAACTCGAGGTAGTCAAGAAGAGCTTGACAGCCGAGCTGCACAGACGCAAACTTTGCCACTTTGGAAAGAAGAGCAGCATGGTAGGATTCCGACTCGCGCTTCTGGTCTTGAATCCTACCCCATGTAGAACCGCTCATTTTGTAGTCATTGTGTTGTTCCCTGATGGATAATGCTTGAGTGGCAGCAGTGAACTTGGAGCCGAGTCGTACAATTGAGTCAGCCGGCACACCGGCTTTCTGTATGTCTTCGAGAAATTGATCAAGAGCATGGTTGGTGTAAGTGAGGATGAGAATTGTCTCGTCGGTAGAATCGTGTAAAATCTTCGCAATAACTGCACCACATTAATCTCATTCCAAATGCGCTCTCAAGAGGGTACTGCTCACGTGCGCCAATGAAGCTTTTCCCCGTCCTAATACCAGTTAGCACCAAAAGCGTATAGATAGAGAAGACACTCACCCAGGGGGTCCTTGAATCAGACTAACTCTCTTCATTAAACCCGTCAACAGCGAGTCTGCTTGAGCTCGGTCTAGTTCGATAGGATGTGTACTCCCTACAACATCTTGCAGATTCTGGTCCCAGTTGCTACGAATGCTGTTAATGATATCGGTCGGTTGGATACCAGAGACAGCTTCAGAAGAATTCGGAGTCAGATTGAGGAGCTGGTCCTCTAGTGGCAGCTCGGTCAGAGATTGGAGGCATTTCAGAATGGGCTCATATGCGAATACAGCGGTGTCCACTTGCACAAAGGAAAGGTCTTGTTTGGTTTTGCACGCCATCAACACCTTTGCGAAGGAGCTAGAACTGGTGACTCGCAGTACGACAATAGCGGGTTCCTGAGCGAGAAGATCTTCGTCGCGATCTACGCTTGCAAAAGCGACGATTCGGCCATTGCTCACGAGGCAACCAAGAGATTGATGCTTCAGGAAGTTTTTGTTGCGTGTGAGGTATTTCTTGCGCTCGGCCAAGCCTTTGATGTTGTTCAACTGAGGAAGACCCTTGGGACAAAGAAGCTTCAGCGCACAGGGCTTGCGTCTCTTCTCTGGACCACAGTCAATGCCAGCATATTCTAGATGTTCGAGGACGGTTTTGCGGCGCCCCTTCTTCTGGCCAGTGGCAATCTGGAAATCATTGCGCAGCTCACCCAAAAGATCCTCGCGTAACAGTCGAAACTGGTTGTCCAGATGGATCAAGCTGCGGGTTTCTGGGGGAGCAGAAGCGACAGCATCTGCACGTCTGTAGAACGGCTGCTCATTGGAGGCAAATTCGTCCGATGTTGGTAAGATCTGGATTGTGCGGTAGTCTGCTGCGTCGTTGTCGTGTCTCCCCCCGGGGCCATCGGCAGAGTCGCTGGATGTACTCTCCAGAACACTTTTTATTTTTTGTCCGAGATTGCGGACTTGAAGAGAATCTCCGTTGATGAGCGACTGTTTGATGGTAACCTCCTGGGCGATGCTTCGCACGTCTGGAATCTCATCAGAGCGACTGCATAGCAGCAGCTCGAGCAGCAGCCACGCGAAGGCGTGCGTGCCGTCTGCGGAGAGAAGCCGAGCGCCATGTGCCTCGACAAACGCGTTCCAGAAGGTTGGAGGCTGCACAATCTGCTCGATGACGCGCAGTAGAAATTCGCCGCCGTACAGTTGCTTGACGGATGGCTGGGAGAAACGCAACAGGACGCTGGACGCCAAGCCGTTCAGGAATGCGGCATCGCGGGAGAAGCGGAACGCCTTGGCTACCGCGTTTAGCCCGGCGGGAGCTGCCACGACACACTCCACACACTTGGACGTATCCTCCTCGGAACACAGCGCCTCGAGGAATCGACTGCCATCAGATGCTGTCTTGAGTTCGCGGTGGCCGTGGATGACGGCGTTGAAGAGCTTCTTCAGCCCCGCGGCTCGCTTTGCTGCAGCCTCTCGGTCCGCCATGTTGTGTGTATGAGGTTGGTGTCTTGCAAAGAAACGACTGTTTTTGGAGAAGTATATGAGTTGCTTATCTTGTGCAACTACTTCCTGGAGACGTCTGGCGCTTTTGAAGTACTCAAGGCAGAAAGCGTGACGGGGTTTATGACGTCCAGCGCTTCTTTGACAATGCGCCATGCAAGCGCTTGGAAGACAATCGAATGCATGAGGGCAGCAAAGCTTTGTGATTCGTTTGCCTGAATGCCTTGTTGAATTCTAGACGAACGGAGACCTACCAATCATGTGCTGTGTCATCTGCAGGCTGAGCAAACCACGCCACCAAAATCTCAGCCTTGTCCCACCAGCATAAACTGCTCAACACCAGGCTGCCACTGCCCCGCCAGCATAAAAGTCCAGTTCAAATCCTTTGATTCCTGGAGCCCATTTCAGACACTGCCACTATGTCCTGGACGAATCCATCCTCAGGTAGCAGTAGGGGTGGTTTTGCTCCACGGCGAGGGCAAGGCCGTGGTGGTCGGGCGCCTCAGTTCAACAAGCCCCGGAAGCCAACCAAACCCGACATTGTGCAAAATCCGCTTGGAGACCTTGTCAAGAATATACGCGCTTCAGACCTTACCGTGGCAGCCCAGCATCCTGCACAACCTCCAGAGATATATGGCTGCCACTATGTTGCGTCCTACAGTTGGCTCAAAGGCCAAACTCCTACCATTGTGGTACCAGGTAAATTCATCTTTACCTATTCGTTTCTAGTCTAAAACAACCCAGGAAAACCCCCACTGTGGACTCCTCTCGCAACCCCACAACGTTTGCCAGAAGATCGCGGCCAGTATTTTCGCGACTTGAACGCTGCAAAGTATCCCGAGTACCCCATGGCACCCGTAATACATGCCGTCCTTGAACAGGATCCTGAATATCCTACTGAATGCATCGATCTCTTTGCCTGTGGCAGTACCCTTGGTAGTCTCCTTCGCTTTGCCCGCGGCATCGGCAAGGCTTTTCGATTCGACGTTGAGGTGATTGGAAGCACCGTATTCTTTGTTCGCAAAGAAAATGACCCCAAAGAGCTGATTCAGGGTGTCAGAGGTTTTGGTCATACTTTCCCTGAAGCCTACACCACTTGGGAGGATCTTTCACACTCTGAGTCTCATCAACGTATTGTTCAATACACATTCGAAGGACTGGAATGCCTTGTACGCTTCGAAAGTGATGGCTACATCAAAAATAATTCAACCACAGACAAGCTATCTTCTGGGAAGCGTGCGACCACCGAGGGCGACCTTGTCCAAGCGCTCCAGGGTGTATCCGTTGACTTGACGTGTGGAGAACGTGACAGCGCGGTCAATGAGCTCACGGTCAAACGGGGTGGCTCCGAAGTGCCACAAAATTCCATCTTCGACTTGAAGACACGCTCTGGGAGGTACAAAAAGGAGATTGACATGAGCGACATATACCCGCAGTTGTGGATCAAACAAATACCCAACTTCATCGTCGCATACCATGACGGTGCCGGCCTATTCGAAGATATCCGGGTTCAAGACGTCAAGAGCGAAGTACAAGCTTGGGAAAAGGACAATGCAGATGGTATCCGTCGCTTTGCAGCGCTCGTCAAGTTGATCTTACAGGTCGCTAACGACAACAAACAAACGCTGTTAGAGGTCTACTGCCCAGGGCCAGACTCATTAGAGATCCGAAAGCAGCACGGGGATGGCATGCGGACATTGCCACTTTACTTGAGCGATCGATGGGCTGATTACGAGCAACGCGAGGATTCTGGCCATTCTCCCTCTCCGCCAAATGGAGGCATCAGTCTCAGCGACGGCGAGGATCTTGATGAGTTGAGGTATGATGACCATCGCTACAATTTCGGTAGTGAATATGACGATGATTCGGGCACCGAACCAGACTACACTGCCTGTTCCGCTGAAGACTGTGGATATTGCGGGAAGTGTTCTTACTGAGTAAATTCTCGGTGTAAAAATCTGTATGCGGGCTCGTCGCATTGAAATGCATGCCGCATCTGGTTCACGATTCGCCATAAGTACATGGAAGGACTGAAAGACTTTTGGTGGATGGTGTGGAGGTTTGAAGCCAGCGCGTCCAACGTACCGTACTAGTAGTACAGTGAGGTTTTTGGACTACGGTACGAACCGTAGTTTGGTGGTGAGAGCAAAGTACGCGTAGAGTACACTGTAATTACGGCCCGTAGTTCCACCGTAGTACGGTGCGTTGGACGCGCAATTGAAGCATATGCGAGGTTGCCATCTTCTATTACAGTACTGTTACAATGCTATCTGATTTATCCACACTACTGCGAAAGAGTGACATTGCATCGAATGCTGTTAGTTTCAAAATGCGCGTCGCTGAAACAAATCTTCTATGTATACAGTTTCCCTTTTCGCACCCAACATTGCGACTTGGTCTGCATTTGGATAATTGCATCAATTTTCAAACAAAGACATATGTAATGGGTACCCATGCGTATTCCCAACCAAGGTACCATGCGATCCGATGATCCTCGCCCATGATTCATCTTACCAATGCATTCATGGCACTGTACCCAGTGAGCTGGTGACTAAAATGTGCGAGACAAGGTCAAGGGCGAAGCGCATGGGCTTTTTAGATCCTAGTCTCATACATCAAGCCCCTGTTAGAACCTTGAAGAAAGATGCGCTTGAGCATGGCTTCGAGTTGCATATTTACTTTATTGATGATCGACTACGATCATCAGCTGACCGCGAAGAAGCGTGGAATGTGGAACTTAATGTGGGCACCAATGCGGACATTACTTTTCACGAAGAAGGTTTGAAGTGATTGTCCTAGGTTTGAGCCTATATAATGGAGACGGTCCCCATCAATGGGAAAGGGGATCTGAGGGCGAGGCTTGAATCACGTGAGCTGAACCTTGTCGCAAATACCTAATGTGGCTAGGTACGTACCCGGGCCTCCACGCGCACTGAACGACGGATCGTCCGTCACATTTTCTCAACAAACGTCTTCGTGTAGATGTCGAGCATTTTCGGCTCTCCGCATCCTTACCAAGTTGAAGTTTTGGCAATACGATCACATCCTCTCCAATCGCGTTCGAAGATAAACGAACTACATATATGCCAGGCTGAGACCAGCTGTTCTGCTATTCAATTTTTCAAAAATAGCATTTTTCTTTATCAGAATTATATGACAGCATACGTAACAGTTTTGACAGTCTCCACGATGAAGTCTGATCCCAGAACCACCACACACTATCACGATTGTACCATTCGCGACGTGGCTACCACGCCTTCGTACAGGACATTATTGCTCTCGTCTATTTGCGTAAACACAATGAACAGTGTTGTTTTTGAGCCCCTTTCGGCATCAATCGAAACAGAAACCCTTGGTATTGACAACCAGACATCGCATGATGCACGGTCACGATTCCCAATCCCACATCACCACCCTCTTTTCTTTTTTCGATTTGCTCCGAAGTATAAAGTAACAAACGACGACGTGCATTGAGCGTATCGACATTGCTACTCTGGGCTTGGCCTCCATTTCTTCTTTTAAATCTACATTTGTGGACAGCGGTTGAACACAATCACAATGCTTCCTTACACAGGGACAGCAGCAATCCTGCTGTCGTCTCTCGTCTGCTCTACAGCAGCTAATCGGAATTACGAAGACGATCCAGCCTCTCGAACCCGTGGGACCGACAATCTGGGGTCATGGGGTCCCATAATAGACTTTCCTCTCATTCCCGTAGCAGCCTACATTGTCCCAGAATACCCATCACCGTCGCGAATGATGGTGTATTCGGCCTTTGCTCCCAAATTCTCTGGCTATACACGCGGCAAAACCCAATTCGCAGAATTCAACCTGCTCACTGGCGAGATTTCAGCCCGCGAAGTCGCCGAGACAAAGCACGACATGTTTTGCCCCGGAATGAGTGCCCTGGGCGATGGCCGTCTTATCATCACTGGCGGAAGCAATGCCGAGAAGACGACCATATACATGCCCAACACGAACGAATTTATTTCGGCTCCAGACATGCAAATTGCCCGAGGCTACCAGTCCAGTACCATCTTGTCCAATGGCAAGGTCTTCACCATTGGCGGATCGTGGAGCGGACCTATTGGTGGAAAGCCTGGAGAAATTTATGACCCAGAAGCGAATACTTGGACTCTCTTACCTGGCGCTGCTGTCGAGCCAATGGTAACAGACGATGTTCAAGGTGTTCTTCGATCGGACAATCATGCCTGGCTGTTCCCATGGCGCGACGGCACTGTCTTCCAGGCTGGACCCAGCAAGGCGATGCACTGGTACTATACCGATGGCGAAGGCGGTATCAGTCCAGCTGGAGTCCGGGACCCGGACAACGACGCAATGTGCGGTGTGAATGTCATGTACGATGTGGGAAAAATATTCTCGGCAGGAGGCGCACATAACTACGTCGGCGGTGATGCGCTCAGCATCGCACACTTGATAGAAATCAGCGACGTCGGCGCCCCAGCCAAGGTGGAAAAGGTCGCAGACATGCATCACCCCCGCACCTTCGCCAACATTGTCGTGTTGCCCGACGGCAAGATGCTAATCACGGGTGGGCAGCGAGTGGTTGCAGGTCTCACCGACAAGGAATCCGTCTTGATTCCTGAACTCTTTGACCCAAAGACGAAGATGTTTACCGAGCTGGCTCCTGCAGCTATACCCAGGAACTACCATTCTGTTTCCCTCCTCTTGCCCGACGGAACAGTGTTCAGTGGCGGCGGCGGCCTCTGCTTTGACGATGGCTCAGGCAAGTCATCGGCAAAGTGTCACGACACGGTTGACCATCTCAACGGCCAGATCTTCACACCGCCTTATCTCACCACTGGCGAACCGAGACCAGTCATTGAGAATATTGCTTCCGCAGAAGTTGCTCCTGGTGGTCGGCTGATTGTGACAATGGAGGACACCGCTGAAAATGTTTCCTTCTCTTTGATTAGAATGGGAAGTGTTACGCACAGTATCAATACCGACCAAAGGTGCATACCGCTTCAGGGAAAAGTTGATGGCGCAACAGTTGTGTTGCTTATCATGGATGATTCGGGTGTTATGATCCCTGGGGCGTGGTATCTCTTTGCTATTAGTGCCAAAGGCGTACCGAGCATCGCCAAGACCATATTCGTACAGCAGGTGTGATTAACGGTATCATTGTGTAGTGGCATCGACTGCCTGACCACTTCAGTCACACCCTAAATATCACTTTTGTACATTCTCCTGTGCTATTCCGTCAATTAGAACGACAAAGAACAATTTTCTCCTTGTCGATATTTTCGAGAGTCGACAACAAACTACTGCATCAAACACCAGTATGACCATACAAACATAGCAGCAAATCAATCACAGAGGCCCTCTTTCCATATCCTGTAGTGTATCCCGTGCACTACTAGCCTCCGATCCCTCTGTCACGTCTTTCTTCGTTTCCTTGTCCTCCTTCTTTTCCACTGGTGGCGCAGAGGGGATCTGTGCAACCCAAAACTTGGGATACTGTCTCTGCAGGTTCATCAAGAGCATTGCAGTTACGAGAACAATTGTCGAGCTAAGCAGTAGCACGGGCAAAAAATACCACCGTAGTGCCCAGATGTGCTGATCGATGCATGGAAGTAGGGCTGTGGCGCCGGCGGGCGGGTGCGTCGTCTTGGTCAGATGCATGACGACTAGTGCGATGGCAGTTGCGAGTGCAGCTGCGAGCCATTGGAGACGGGGATACGGGTCGTTCTCAAGGTTGAACTGGAAGATTGTGGCGATAATGACGCCAACAAGGCCGCTGAAGAAATGGCCAAAGATCAGGGAGCGAGGTTGCGCGAGAGGCACGTCAATAGCGCCGTAGCAGAGGATTGCGGAGGCGCCCTTTGTGTAGAAATCAGTTAGTGATGACTTCGTTGCTACTAACATTCCTCCATGCAGTTTTCATATCCCAATACCTAGTCATCACCACTTTTCGAACCGTAAAACGAAGAAGAGACAACTTACAAATGAGGCAACAATAGGCGGCACAGCACGGCTTCGAAAGTAGTCTGTATGCCCGAAAATAGCCAGGATGGTACTGAGACCGCAAAAGGCGCCGATGAAACCCCACACACAAACGAGCCACGTGCGGGATGGCGGTAACGTCTTGTGTCTGTATCCGAACCAATGACTGATGGCTGGTGGAAGACGCGCCAGACAGCGTTGAATGACACGTTCAGCAGGAACAAGAGGATCCCATATCGGCATTGTGGAGGCAAAGTAGCGCGGTGTCGCGTCTCTTGGGACTGTATTTTGCGGCGGCGGTGGCGGCGACAACGACGACGGTCCAAACAACGGCCCGGAATGAGAAGCAGGAAGAGTCCAGACAGCGATAATTGATTACCCAAGGACACGCAAAAAGCAGTTCTGGACGTTGCAGAGCCAAGCCAGGGAAAAAAGACGGGAAAGGAAGAGAAGCTTTGCGGGTGCGGCAAAACAATGTCGGAAAGAGCAAAATAACGTCAACGAGGAGGAGCCAGAACGTCACCAATGCACCCCGGACTTTGTCGCGCGTGGCCGTTCCCGTTGTTAGTGCGACAAACTAGTAACTCGGATCCGCCGCGGCATCTCTCATCGCATCGTATTGCATCGCATCGGATCGTGCATCGTGAAGCCCTCAACCATCCTTGTCGCCATGTCGCTCGCACATGCCGGTGCACACAACGAGCTGCGGGTAAGCGCTGGAAGCCCACAACTGCATGTATTCTTACTGTATTTCCGTCTACACAAGAGACAAACGACTGCCGATTATCTCTAGTTGTAAGCAGCGCACGGCAAAGTTTAACTCAGAACGGCATGCGCCAATGATGACTCGAGTGTGGTGCGGAGAGCAAAAACAAACGCTAATTAGCTAATATCCCGAACATCATCCACGTTTCGCGCGAAGATCGCCGAAGTATGGCCTGAAGGCTTTCAACGTGTGTAAGCCGCCTCGTTGGGAACGTCATTGCAGAAGGTGCTTTTTGTGAAAAGGCCATCAGCATTACATGGCGCTTCATGCGTGCTAGTAGAGGTACTTACCTATAGCCGACGTCAAACTGTTCTAAAAAACCACGCGCAACGCAAAGTGTCCGCGTCCGTTCCGATGACGAAGTATCAAGGCCAGCGCCAGTTTCTCATTGACAAAGTGCAGTAGTGGGCTTGCGACAGACAGGTGGATGACTTGTAAGGTGAGGACCCGGACGGTTTACAGTGTGAATTATAGCCTTAGTTTGTACTTTAGATGTTCTGCCATGAGATACGCCATCGGTTTACCCCATCCGTATGCGATTGATGCGATAGCAAGCCATGTACCGGCCAACGAGAGTGACTCTGCAAAGAGGATGATCCAATCGTCGAGGTGCAAATCTCCTGTGCGACTCATGGGAGTGTAGATTGGTACAATGAGTTTAGCTTTTGGAACCATTCGCAAGGTGTCGCGCCACGACGGTGAGCGGTCGAGCTGTTGAGCTGAATCTTAGTGTGCAACGTCACTCCCAAGCAATAATCTTTTCGTTTCCGATAGTAATTGACGCAGGATATTTCCCTACACTGCGGCCTGACATGGCTTGCCTGTGGGTGAGAGTATGTGTGGGGGTCCATAGCATGCAACCACTGGTGCGTGGGGTTGATTTCGATATCAGGGTCTGCTATGACGGCCGTCCTGCAGATCTGAATGTCTTTCTCATACCTGACCACAAGACACTGCGAGGAGAGAGCACTATTATCAGCATCCTTGATATAGTGATAGTTAATGTGCAGGTCCATTCCATTTTCGCCATATCCATGACGACGACGCCACTGCGGCTGCGCATCTTGAGAAAGCGGTGGTAATGATGTCGGCACAGGCCCTATTTCATCAACTTCTCCTGTTTTGTAATAAACAAACGGCCCAAACGGGGATGTTGGCCTGAAGAAGGCCATCTCGGGTAGAGTGTTCGCACAGGACGAGGGAAATAGGATGTCAACTGGCCCCAAACTTCGAAGTCCATGGAATAACGCCCTGAGCTCTATCGCAGGGATTTGGCCATCTGCGGTGAGAGTGAGTGCATCGATGCGTCTGTGAGTTGTCCATTCTAGATTGAGAACCACAAGGTCTGGTCTTTTAGTGCTAGTGCTGAGACGCGCCCGGGGCCAGGTCGGCGCCCCCGAAGCAGTGCAGCGTGTGTCATGGATGGCATCGTGGCACTCAATATTGAAACTGTCGAGGCAGGCCTGAAGGTCTTCTCCTCCGTGCTGCTGTCGCCAACCATGAATATGGGCCTTGATTCTGGCCCACGTGATTTCAACGTGCTCGCATAGCTGCACCGATCCCTGCTGGCCTAAACACTGCCAGTCCGTTTGGAGCTCCAGTAGCTGCTGATAGAGCGAGTAACAGATGCAAGTATTTTGCAAATCGTCGAAACTGTCGCGCGCGTTGCGGCTGAGCACCTGATGAATTGTCGGCTGGAATTTGCAATTGCCGCAAAATTGAGGTACATGAGCATCATTCCAGCGCGTACAGTTATAGCATCTGCCGTCTCTCTGTAGTAGCTGTCGAAACCGCCGCGCTTCATCATCGGGCATAGGATACATGGGGCCGAAATGTAGTCTCTCTACGAAAATGTCTCTTTTCTTATTAAGCAAATGAAACAACTTTCTCGACGCCAACCGGAGACAGTAGATCGTGACAGAATCATCGCGTAAGAAATCGCATATCCAGAGGAGGAGCTCGTTAGGCAGTCGAATAAGGGGGCAGAAGCGATTATTGTAGACGTGTGCAGCTATAGCCGGGTCCATGGTGCGTTGCAACTCTGAGAAGGTGAGGAGGAGTGCTTGAGCCTGTTGCTTGTCCCGTTCATTGCGTTCATTGCGTTCGACCTGTTCGACCTGTTCGACCTGTTCGTCCTGTTCGTCCTGTTCGTCTCGATGAGCTTGCCCTTCAGCTTCGTACATATCCATCACCTTGATACGCCGGCGGTCTTTACGCCACTTCTGGATCCTTTTCAGGAATGAAAGCATTTTCTGAGCTGAATTGCGGGGGGGTTGAATTTTGCAAGCTTGATCTTGTGTAACTCAGAATGCAGCTCTTATAAGAAGCTGTGATTGACATAAGAAACTTGAGAACCTTGGTTGTAGGTGAACCGTGTTCTCTGCTGCTTCCAATCAGATTTCAGGACAATCAAACCGAGCAAGCAGTACTGGCATCAAGTGACAAGATTTGACGTCATGTCACCGGAACGGGAATGGAGCATGGTGGATATCTTGTTGATTGCTATCCGCTGCGCTAGCCGTTATGACCCTATAGACTCTGTATTACATCACTATCATGTGACATTTCAGACTGATGCCCGGGCAAGCCACGAGTAATACCCAGCCACAAGTAACACCCCTGGCTAGGTGCCGACGTTAGGTAGTGAATTGGCTTCGTGAGGGTATTTAACGTAGTGTTCCATTCTCTACGGATTCCCTGCGTTTTCCTTCGCTTTACTGGCCACTCAATGCAGCCGAAACCTTTTTGAAGTCTTCTTTGTAACGTTCGATGAGCGCACTGGTCCTTGCTGCGTTCTCCTTGAGTTTTTCAAGGGAACTTGACAGGTCGGCTTGCTTTTCCTTCAGCCTGTCGCACTGGCCCTGAAGCCCTGCAAACTGACCCTTAAGGCCTTCACACTGGCCTTTGAGGCCTTCACATTCGCCCTTAAGGCCAGTATGCTCAGCTTTTAGGTTGGCATACTCATCCTCCAGGTTAGCGTAATTTGTCTTAAGGACGTCATGCTCTTTCTTTAGGTCGTCCAGCTCTTTCTTGAGGGCCTGACCCTCCAAATCTTCAAACTTAAAAAAAGAAAATTTGGTATCCAGCCAACAAATAACCTCCAGAATCCAGCAGCATCTGGGGTGATTGAACTTGTTGAGTTGGACTGCGTGGTGCCATGCGGCACCAACGCGAGCAGGAAGAGAGCTCCACAGTCAGAGTGCAGACAAGAGCATAGCAGCTAATGCCCAGGATGGAAGCACAGGCTGTACATTGCTAGCAATCTTCTCCAAGACTGCTAGCAATGCAGGGCTATGTTCGTCGTGGGGGGCACTCGCCCCAGAGACGAAAAGGAGGAGGAGGAAGAAGAAAGAAAGAAAGTGAGATTTTCTCCGTCGTCGTTTTTCTTTGTTGTCGTTTTTGTCGTCGTAATCAGTGACAGTCTCCGTAAGCGATGACAAAGTGAGAAATTGGAGCTGAAATTGAGTAGATTGAAGGAGAGTAAATCCAAGTTGAAAGCGAGAAGATTGAAATTGGAACTGAAATTTGGACTTGAAAGTGAGGAAATTGGAGTGGAAAGGTTGGTTTACCTAGCGAGGTCCAAGTGGCTGCTCTTATACCCCGATGTTTGTTGTCCTTGGTCATCACTCATGGAAGGAGCACCTCCCCTCGCCGAACATTCTGGAAACGGCTGAGCTTCGGGTCAGCCAGATACGCCTGTGCAATGCTAGAACCCATATTCACCGGTTTTGCAGACAGGCGCAGTCAGGTGTACTGCAGCTTCTTCGTTTCGATGCACGCAACCGCCAGCTCATATCCACAAAGCAGTGAATACAGGATTCATGTGGCAACTACAGGTGCTTGAGTTTACTGCACTCATCTGAGTTTCAAGATAATGTGGTTTCCAAACAACAGTGAACATATATACGTAGTGTTTGTGTAGCTAAGACAAAACCCAACTTTGGCTCTAACGAACCAAACTGAACGTCACCGAGTTCTTCAAATTAAAATCCCACTACAGTCTCGCTATCCAAAGATGCCATGCCAAAGGTAATGTGTTGCAGAGCCGCAGGCGGTAAATCACGTGAGTCACCGCCAAGATTGTCCCTGACAAATCCTCAGCTGCGTACAATTTCCGAGTATCCAAGCTGTACTGTTCACTTCCTACTGAAATTCAATCACATCTCTCTTCACTCATTGCTGACATCATTTTTCCACCGCACAATGGATATCACTGCTCGCCGACCCCTCATTGGTCCATGATGACGCGATGCCCCTCTTTTTAGCGCAGCACAACAACGAATCTCCATCGTGAGATCGCATCTTCACCTTTGCGAACTACGTACCCCAATCACTCTCCCACCATCCTCTGTCTTGCGAAAATCTACAAACACTCCGACATGCTCAAGTGTCCTGAATGCGAAGCGTCGGCTGATTTGACTAAAGACGGCGCCTGGGCGCATTGCGCTTCCTGTGAGCAAAATAAGCTGGATCTTTGACGAACACGGCATGTTGTTCTAATCCTGCGGGACATAGGTAACACGATTTTCCAGCCAGGAAAAGAAGGGAGTCAGTACAAAGGAAGTGGCAGCGGATCTGGTGACAAGGAAGAGGAGAAGAAGAAGAGCGACACCAAGGATGAAAACGTGAAGAAAGAGTAGAAGCGAGTCTGGCGAATTATTAGAAGATATTTGAAGACATTTGTAAAGTACTAGTCTATGGAAAAGAACCGGTGCAGTGCACGCTATCTACGCTTTTAACTAAACAGACAATCATAATGAGATGCCATGAGAAACACGCTATGCTCGCTCAAATGGGATATTAAAAACAAAGGATTGCTTCTTCACATCCGCCTGCCATCATTCTCGTAGTCAGCAATCTCCACCTCGTTCAAATGGCTCTTCGCTCGAAGACTGCTCCTTGCACTGTTGGGGGTGGTGAAGCTTTGTCTAAAGAGCACATCTTTTCTTGGGTCCAACCTGCCATTATCTGAGAATGGGTTGGACATGCGGTTGTTCTGAGGACCGCCGTATTGGGGTTGTGCCGGAAGTTTGCCTCTCGCCGCTGATGTAGGAGGGGGAGAAGGCGGAGAGTTTGACGGCAGATAAATTCCAGAGTAAGTTTTTGTAGGACGAGTTATTTTTGGTAGTGCCCATTCATCGCTGTCGGAGTTGGCGTAGTGGATTGAGGAGTCGGCCGAATCTAGTTGCAAGTCCCATTGTTCATGCTCCCAGACCTGACGCGAAGTTCGGGTAGATGGGCCAGGCGAGTCATCAATGTATACCGAAGAGAAGGATGTAGCAGCGGATGCGCGGTTGAAGGCATGAGGACGTGGTGGGTGCAACATCTTTTCCATCTGAGGGTCAACCTCATCATCCATGGCAGTATCGGCAACATGTCGTTTTGACATGGTTCGGCGAAGCGACATCATGCGTGCTGGGTTTCTGGGTGGTGGCGTGTGTTTCTCCAGATCTAGCATTTCGTAGAACGATTTTCCGACCCAGAGCATTTGCTCGTGCTCTCGTAGATAACGCTCGCCACCAAATGACTTTTGGACAATATCGCGCGCCATCATACCCAATTTGCGTCGATGCTCAGACTTTTCGTACATGCGACGGGTGATGATTTCGACATCTTTGGGTGTAGGCTTGTGAGGCAGCACTGGAGCCGAAACTCCAGGTCCATCCTCAGCATACTGTGCCCATTCGTCTAGCATAGCGAGTAGATTGATCTGGGCACGGGCCAAGCCGTATGCATCGTTTGGTGCAACAACTTCACTGTATCGTTTTCCGGTATCGGGATCCGTAAGAACGCGTAGAGACGCACCCACATCAGTGCATACGACAGGTGCTCCGGTTAGAGCAGCCTCTCCGAGAGCAAGTGGTAGACCTTCCGAGACAGACGAGTTGAGGAATAACCAGGTATTTGCCAGGACCATTGCTGGGTCTGCAGTGCCGCGCATGGTAACGTTCTGTCCAAGGCCCTTGCAGGCAAGAATCTCCTGACATTCAGATGAATAGACCGGAGATTTGTTGAGAGCACCATAAATGTCGAGTTTGTAGTCCTTGAAGCCCCATTCGTTGGTAATGATATCCGCTGCCAACAGAGCTGTCTTGATGTCCTTTGCAAACCAGACGTGCGAAAGCATCGTCACGGTGGGCATCTTGGTTTTGATTTCCGTGACTGGAGCGAATTTCGTCATGTCAGTGATTCCGTTGACGATAGGGTCGACCTTGCGACGAAACACGTTGCGGTGCGTAAGTTGACCTTTGGCACTTCCGATTTCAATCTCCCACCCTGGGTTGAAGAAGTCTAAGAACAAGTTGTCAGCTTTGAGGACACGGTAAAAAGCGGATATCTACGTACCTGCGCAAGGAAGAATTTGATCGGCATGATGAAGAATGAGACATGATGTCAGCTTCATCAGACCCAGCAACGAATTTCGGATGAAAGGTGGCAGAGTGCACATTGCCGATGACAGGTAGAGGTTGGTCTCACGCCAAGAGATTGCGTGGTCCCAAATCTGAAGCGTACAGTTGCGCTTCAGCTTGCAGACAATACCATAGGATGCCGAAACGCTGTGGTGCGAGGCTTGAAACACATGCGGGATCTTGTCGGGGATCGGAATCGAGAAAATGAAGAGATCTGGAAGAGTCAGTCCCATGCAATGTGTGCAGGCGATTTCTACTTACATCTGAACCATAGCTCCAATGCAGTGTCGAAGTGTCCGAGCGTTGGCAACTCAGTGCGGAACCACTCTTTAGCCGGTTGGGCGTTTGGCATGTCGTCCGCCAGCCACAGCTTCCTCCATGAATCTTTGACAATGTCGCTTGTCCAAACTTCCTTCCAGTGACGCGAATCCTGAAAGTAAGTGTTGAGATTGACCAGAGCACGTGTAGCTTGCTTGACATCTGCCAATGTCATGGTAGTGGCTCGTGCTCCACGTACAAGCGCAGTCAATGTAGGGATAAAGTTAGTTTCGATATCAGCCAGAGTCGCTGCTTTAACCAGGTGATCAACCTCGCTATCGAGCTTGTTGGTGAACATGCCATGGTTAGGGTGCATAAAGTCCAAGCCCCAAAGCGGGATGATTTTTAGCGATTCGACGTTCTCTTCGGTCTGGTGTTTGGGCAATCCAAAATCATTGGCTGATTCGACGACCATGTGCCATTTGATGGTGCGCAAGTTGTTAATCAGATCTCGTCGGCAGGCTGAAACACCGCCACCTTCGTTTGGCCAGGTTCCAGTATCGACGGCAATGACGTGGAGTGTGCGATCAGTATCTTGCTGGAGTGCCTTGGTCCTAGTGAAAATGACGGCATCTCCACCTTGACCAAAGCTGAACAAATCGCTCATACGAATGGCAAGAGGAGTCCACGCGCTGATGTCACTCGTAAGATCCGCGCTGGCCATGATGGCGTCTGCATGTAGTGCCAGATAGTCTTCTGCCTTGATGAGACTTCCGCGGTCGCGGCGTCTCCAGTAAGGTCTTAGCAATGTTTCCTTGCGAATCAGCTCTTCGTCAACCCAGCGAATGACTACGCCGTCAAGGTCATTACGTTTCTTCCAAGCCTTCCAGAGCAGAGACCGGGCTCTGGAGGTAGAGATTTCTTGCTGCCTGATGTTTCTCCGGAATAACCGCCCGACGAAGTTAGAGGTTGGCGTTTTGAATGCCAGAAGAGGGTTTTCATCAGCGAAATTGCAGCGGGTAGGCTTCTTGAGAACACCAAGCCAATCGTGACGGATCATGTCCGGTGTCTCGACTAGGATGCCGTTGAGCTTGGTGGTAATCGTTGGGTGGAACTTGTGATCATAGAACCATGTGCATTCGTAAACGTCAGGGCCTTGGACGAAGGTCGCTTCATGAACACGAGGAGTCGGTATCCAGCGCTCCATTTTCTCGGCATGGCGAACGGGAGGCGCGCACCAGCTGACATTGGCCGACATGTGTGGAAGTACAAACTCGGCGCGAAGCAACTCGTCATCATACTTGGCGTTTTTTCGGTAATGGTATTTGAATCGTACCAGGTTGTGGTGGCTGATGTAGCTGCCCGATTCGATGTGACCCTTGTGATTGTACAGGACCTTGGATCCTTCGTTTGCACCCTTGCGGCAGATCCGGGTAAGTGGTATCTTGCTTGACCTTACCTTGGAGATCCTAATCTTGCCTTGCCCTTGCTTGGTTGTATATTCGTAGGCAAATTCATCGGAAACTGCACCGTTTTTCCACTCTTGTCGCAGGGTGATGCGCATCTCCTGGTCATACTGGGCAATGCGGACGTGACCCGAGGACGGTTCATTCTTCAGATCGCCTTTGTAAAACATCAACTTGACTCCACCGTTCGTTTCAGGGTGAACGAATGCAGTTTCAGTTTCTCCGCCGCTTTCAATGACCAAGCGGTTCTTTCTCTGGATGATCAAGCTTCCCTTGACGGTTCCTGCCAGACCGGCAATGTCTTTGCGGCGATGATACAAGAAGAATGGTAGAGCTATGGACATTGCACGTCGACTGTATATCCACAGGCCCGTAAGGATGAAGGTAGTCGGTCGCGATATAATACTTGGTGTGTACAACAGTGCTCCGTGCAACTCACGCTGATACTCTGGATCGGCCATGCACGCCAGAACAAAGAACTTCACCCAGGTGCCGGCGGAATGATACACATAGGCAATCGGAAGGCGAACGTATTCGGTGAACAAGCTCCAAATCGAAACGGCTGAACGGTTGAGCACTGGATAGTACGCTCTTTGAATGTCTGCCGTCACTTGGCGATATTCTTTTTTGGAGATTGATTGGTCGCCTCGGTTCCTGAAGAAGCTGTACTTGTTTACTGCCAAGTACGCCCCAAGATCGTATCGTGCAATGCGTGAAAGAATCGTACATGATTGTTCCGCGGCAACATTTTCATGAATCCAGGATAACTCTTTGTTTGTGTAAGGTGCCCGAATACCGACACAACGTCGAAGGAAAAGGCGTCGTATGTCCAATGGCAGGTCATCCCACTGAGTGTCGCAGTCATAGCCAAGGCACAAGTGCCGCAATAGGTCCTTGCGACAGGCCTTTCCAAATGCCAATGCATCTGGTCCCATGACCAATGCCGGCATTGAGCGTCTACTGCATTCCGATATGGTATATGGCTCATCTTCCTTTTTGCGGCAGGCAAGAATGGATTCCGCAATCTCAGCTTGGTCGTGTGGAGTTTCGAATAACGCTTCCATACACGCATGCAGCAAAGTTTCGGCAATGGCCGTACAGTTGCTGCTGACATTGGTCTGCCCAAAGCCGGGGGACTTCGCGTCCGAAGCCATGTACAAAGTCAAATGACCTTCAGAAAAGTGAGAAATCGCGCGAAGTTCGCCATTGAGGTTGACCACAGTCTGAAGAGGAACAATGAAGACTGTGACACGTCCATTTTCCCAAGCCGAGATAACGCGCTGAATTGTTGATTCAATGGTTGGAAATGCCTGCATAGCAATCCTTGAGAGGCTGTCGCTATGGCATGACAACAACAAAGCTCTGATTTGGTCGCCGGGTTGGCCAGTTGGGTTGACGCGGTATCTGTTCTCTTTAGGGGCGGCTCGAATCATGTTGCAGTATGCGCGCAGCTCGCTCTGGCTATACTCGGCGTCGTCATGACCGCTGTTGTAGGCAAGGAACTTTTCATTCCTTGATGCCTGTATGCCACCATCGGGATGTGCATCCGTGCTACCATCTGGCTTATGGGAACTGAAGAGTGCCGAAAGCGATTCCGCTATCCACAAGCGAATGTCTAGAGCTTCTGGCATACCCAATTTGGCAGTTCGGAATGAGAACAAAGCAGCAGTCCAAGTCGACGCACCAAGGGCAATAGTCCTGTCGTATAAAAAGTCTGGGAATATTGCCATGAGTATGTTGCCGACTATCAAGCCGACAGATACGGCTGCTAGCAATGGCATCAGTGCATGTGGACCAGAAAAGATCTTGTTGTACTGGTACAGTAACAACCCGGTGTAGGCGCCGACGTAAGCCAAAAACATGATCAACCCGGTGGATGAGCCATTGAAGATCCAGATGAGGGCTGTGCAGATAGCCAGCGCCCACATATGAACACCAATGAAGCGACACAGAGTGTTGAAATACAGGTGGCGCCTGAATTTCAGGTCGTTGGCTTTGGCCTGCTTGATCTGATGTGCGTTTTCGATCGAAACAGGCGCCATCTGCTCTGAAAGAGTATGCAGATGCTGAGCCTTGTAGTCGAGCAATACAGCTCCAATGAGGTAGTATGCAAGACCAAAGCCGACTGATAAGCGAAGCGCTGTGTTCATTTCAGACCCTAAACCGACCAGCTGACCTCCATGCAACAGATCCAGCCATCGATCCATGAGTGCGACCAAGAAGTAGAGGATGCCACAGTAGATTTCGTCACCAGCTGTTCGCCAATGAATGAAAGAATTGTGGAGACGAATGCCCTTTTGTGACTGTTGCATGCTCTCAAGTGCCACCTGCGTTTCAAGGTTCCAAGTCGAACTGTATGAAATGGGTCGCTTTGTGTCTGTTATGCGAGCGTACCAATCCAATAGAAAGAGTGTGGAGTCCCAACAGTCTGATAGTTTCTTCACGAAGGCATCCTGAGTGGATTTCTGCCAGAAACGACGTTCCCTTTCTTTTAGTACGGCTTCGTGGAGGGCAGTACGGCATAATGCCAGAATGGCCGGTTCGCTCATGTCGTGGAAAATGTCTGGCTCGACGAAAGATACTTCTGAGGAAGGCAAAATGGCTTCACCATTGCCGGCTGTGGTCTTGCTTCGGCCTGTGTCATACTTAGTCTCAATACTCAGACCATGTAGGAACTAGACATACCTTTTGCTTTTGCACTCTCCTTTTCCGTGCACAATTTGATGTACCAGTCCTTGATGTCAGAATCATTGAGTGTCTTGATTCCATGATACCAAGTCACCCATTGGTTAGCCACGCGTCTGGTACCAAGGATCAACAAGATGATGAAGACATAGAGAACGCCCAGATAGACGTATATGTCACGAGCCTTAACTCCCATGAAGATGGTAACAATAGGCGAGATGATCAACGTCGGAATGACCATGATGATGACTTTGCGCCCATTGAGGAAACTGGATCCTGGAATTTGGTACGTAGACAACACGGCCAAAACGGTCAGGTAGGTGGTTAATCCAAAGAGGTAGAAAAAGAAGACGGCGCCATGGCCAGGTCCAGAGACAGCAGAGATGACAATGAACCCGAGCATGCACCCGGCGAGAGTGAAGGCCAAGCCACCGACCAAGCGAGTGAGAACGAACATGTTTGCCGCCGAGAATGCCATGGAAATGAGGTAGTAGGTGCCGCCAATTGAGATCCAGGTTCCAATCGCGCCAGACAAAAGTAGCGAACACATCAACGCCATCGTAGCATAGTATCTTTCATCTGGGGTCATTTGCACGCTCAAGTAGAGTCCGTGGCCAGTGGTTGAGAGAAGCAAAATATCTACACATGTTAGCTTTGTTTCTTCTTAGAGATACCGCTGTACTTACCGACAAGGGCGGGAATGGCGAAGACACTGAGGAAGGTGAAGCGACGATAGGCGGGCATGACAGAGGGCTTCTGCTCAGGATCGATATCTGTCTGGGCTGCAGCATAAGCAGAGGCGAATGAAGGGGCATTGAAGATCCACATCGGAGGCTGGTGTTCTTCTTGGTTGTAGTAAGCCCTGTGCTTTTCTGACAGCAAAATGCCCATGTCGCTTGGCTTGATGTCGAAGTAGGCCTCGCATCGGGATCCGAGAGCAAAGAGCTCTGCAAAAGCCGCACTCTGATCAGAATATTGATTGAAGAGTGGGTTTCTGTCCGATACCTCAATGTAGACTTCTTCGAACCCAGCTTTTCTGGCTGCACAGAAGATGCAGAAAAGAACAAAGTCGGCCGCTGAATCAAGACTCCCCCGACTGGCCATGTCGGTTATGGCAGAAGTGATGATGTCCAGTTTTCCATGGTCTCGCCACCACAGGATATCGCCAAACACTTCGCTGATGTGTCTGAACAACTGCAAAGCATCCGCGCCATCAAGAGTCGGCACGCGCGAGAGCCGGTACCATTTCAGTTTCGCGTTCACTAGCTGTTCGTCTGTAATGTTGTCGCCAATGTAATCCACGTTGCTCAGCTTCTTGAACTGATGGTACGTGGGTACGTCGATGAGCAACTCTTTGCATCGCTCACGAATAGCCGAGAGCAACGAGCAATCCTCGTCCCACTCTGAGTGTTGAATGTGCTGCACATAAAAGAGAAGATCCGAGGATGACAGAAGGTCCAAGTCTTGGTACAGCCTCTCTGGTAGCCGTTCTGGTGAAAAAGATCCGGCTTCAAACTCGGTCAGACCGTACTCAGCAAGAAAACACTGGTATCTGGAAAAGCCCAGCATGCTCAGATAAGTATGAAGAAGAACTCCTTTGACGTCTTGCACCGATTTGGAGATGTAGATGATGACGGCTTTGGTGCGAGGCTGCACTTCCCAAACACCCCAGAATGAAGCGCCGTTGGGTGTATGGAAACCAGAATCGAGTGCAGTATATACTTGAAATTGGTAGGGGTCAGCTCCATCGTCGGTTACTTGATTCAATGACTCCACAAGACCTGCAATCGCTTCCCTCACACTAGGCACGAGGTCCAGGTAGTGGCTGCTGCACGACGCAAAGTCACCAAGTATGTTGGCAATGGAACGAAACTGCTGCGACGGAAGACGGTTGAGTAATTTGAGGTCTCGCAGACGTCGTTGTGAGTTGATGACACGATCGAAATCTGCTTTGGAAGCGTCAAGGCCAACCGGAAAGCATCCTAGCGATGAATACGGCGATCCGTCGAACGAACAAGAAAGTGGGTTGTTTGCTTGCCTTTCCACGGCCAAGGTCCAATCAAGCCCCGGACTGGTGGGTGACAAGGGTTCTCGAGCAACAAGCACTCCATTCTCATCAACCTCGGGGTATTCTACAGTGAGCGTCAATGTACTAGACGAATCGTCATCCTCAGGTGCATCTCCGTCCAGCCCGGCGAGCGTGTTGGCCAGGAGAGGAAAGATGTCTTGCAGCGGCAAGTAGTCGTCTATGAGACTGGTAAATCCAGGCGAAAGCTAGTTACACTTAGCATGCGATCGATGATGATTAGCTAGACAATCTTACCGTACGAGCGGTTCGGTACTTCTCGTGAACATCCATGACCTTGCGATTCTTCAACCACTGAAAAGCTGCCAAGGGCTCTTCACAAGAGCTGATGTCGTGGATGCTTGTCAGGGCCCGCTGACGTGGGAAGTAGGGAATAGCGCCGTGGTAGCTGCACCACATGTGTGCTCTCCTCAAAACAGCATGCGATAGTTTGGCGTCATCCTCCACCGTGTCCCACATCATGGTCACAAAAGGACGTTGGCAAGCCTGTGAAACGAAAGACTTTGTTGTATTCTTCATTTTGTCCATGTCAAAGAAATCGCGGCGCTCTCCGTTGGATTTGATGGTACCGTTTCGAACAACCATGCCGGCGAAGAGGTTGAGGTCGAGCTTTCTGATGCCGTCCAAGAAGTCAGGAGCTCCAATTTCCAGATACGTATCCAGGCCATGTGCAGTGAAAAGCGATGTCAGACCATTGAGCAAGGGGATGGGAATGCGGTCTCGCCAATTGGCAATAAGAACACCAGTGAAGTATCTGCTCTTGCCTGGCTGTCGCAAAGTCTGCTGGAGAGTACAAGAGAGATCGTGCACTACTTGCGACATGTCCGACTCAGTGTCCACTATGGCAGAGGTGAGAATTTGGCCTAGATCAAGGCGGGCAATGATATGAGGTCCCATGGGAATATCATCGTTGCTGACAGCCTCTAGGACCCCGTTTTGGTGATGGTCTAACACTACTGCTTCCCATTGCGACAAGACGGTTACTTCCTCGTGGGTGACGGGACTGCTCAATGCGCCAAGGAAGACACCAAAGGACGATGGTTTCCCAAGTTTTTGCGCTTTGCTAACAATGTTCGAGTTGTTAGAGAGGGCATGGATGCGCTCTTGTATAGACCGTGGTAAGCTACTCGCATCATCATCGCTCTGCAAGGGTTGTAAGTCGTGGGTACAGGGCAGTGTTGCAATGGCCTCACCTTTAGCAGCTTTTGGATGGAACGGTAAGTCGACCAGATGAAAGCGATGAGACCGACAAAACCGCTAGCACCGATAATGGCAACAAGCGTCCATTCCCACCATGTACGGACGGATGTGCCATTGCTAAACGCTTGAACACCAAGTATGTCTGGCATGACGACGGCTTGGACGGGCTCCCACGACGGGGCTTACAGCCGTGCTGGCCAGTGGTCCTAGGGCGGACTTGAGGTTTCGGGGGTCAGTCGTCTGGCAATGGGGGTCTGGTCATGAGAGGGTCATCAAAGAAAGAACATGTAGGAAGTGGGCGGCTTCATAGGCAAGAGCAGGCCACGAGGAGGTGGAGACACAGTGGCAGGCGAACGACAAAAGGGCCCTGGCCAAGTATGCTGGTCGGGTTCCAAACGCCGACTAGAAGCTGATCAGAGGATGCATAAGGTGCTTCGTGTGCTGCTTCAGTCAGGTGTTAGCCGTCGATCTGCGAATTGGATTACACCAAGCAAGCCGGGCATATGGTTAGTCGAAGCATTGTCCACCCGTGCAGGGCCAGCAGCAGCAGAAGCGCGCCCCAATCCTTCGCGAACGCTGTAATACGGCCCTCGGCCGCCACGAATGATGGCGAAGGCGCCATGGCGACTGAGTGCAAAGCCTTTGGGCCGGCCATGGGCAGGAGCATGGGCTGGGTGCGCTAGCGGAGTCGAGCGGGCAGACGTCCATCTATTCCGGACAGCGAGCTGCGACTATATTGAGACTAGATCAGCACCCACCCACTGGCTGTGGGCGGGCCAAGGAGGGAGCAGGCGTGTCGTGGCGACGTGGTCGGGGGGTGGTGGAGGAGTGGAGCAGAGCAGAGTCGCGACGAGACGAGGCTGACAGGGCCGGGGTCGCTAGGCCCTGTTAGTCTGTGTGTCCGTGCGCGCTAAATTTGGCCCGTGCTAATCGTCCCGCCGCCCGGCCTCGATTTTAGCCTAACCTTCTCCACAGTGCCTCTAATATCACCCTTCATCTAATCTGGCAGTCGCTCCGGTCCTGTCGCCGGCACCCATGCAATGCAACGCATCGCATCGCATCGCATCGCCTGCACATGAAGCCTCGCCCTGGCGCCATGGGCTGACATCGGCCACACACACTCCCACACACTCCCACACGCCCGCTTTGCCCATGGCCATACGTAACACGGCACTGGCCGAGCATGTCCTGGGCATAGCTGTACCGTACCGATGCCGCGAGCGGCTTACACACGTCCATGCTAGCATGTATCCGTCTATGCAATACGTATTGGACCTGGTATTGAACATGGCAGCAGACGCCCCCGGCCCCCAGTCACGGCCGGCCTGGGGCATCCTGCCAGTGGCTTCTTCTTCTTTTGTGCTCTGCTTGCGCTCCCAGCACCCACCCAGCGACCTGGTTGGCCCAAGTCGAGGCTTGCGCCGTGATACGGATTCACTGCTTGCGCCTCTCGATCGACGGCAGTACATTGTTTTCACGTGGCAAGGGAAATAGCCCTATGGCTGCACGAAACTACGTCAAGACTTGCCAAGTCGTTAACCGTCCAGGACGATCCCAAAATATCCTACGCCCCATTCCTTGTAACTAAGCTCCTAGTCTTTAGTCCAGCACCTTTTCGAGGCGTTCAAGTCAGCTCGATACCGTGGTACGCCTGAAACTAGGTCTTTGCAATGTTCAGCTTGCCAGTGTTGTGGAAACAAAAAGGGAAATTCGATAGTCCTGGCATCATTGCCTGCTGTGTCTGGACCGACTATCTCCCAGACACCCAAGGAAGGCCTTTTGCCGAGACTTGTTTATTAAAGTGCCTAGGGTCCTCTAGGAAATTCGTTCAAGCATCAATTCGTTCACTTTGGCCTTCAACATGGCGTTTTCTTCTCCATCCTTTCTGCGGGCTTGTCTCGCTTCGTCCTTCGTTCTTCTCCTGCAGCAGGTTTCAGCCTATGTAGGGAGTGCCACCGTGTCGAGCACCGTCTTGGTCATTGCACGCGACACGACATCAGCGACCAACAGTGCCTCGCTTGGTCTCCAAGGCTATGGCATTCCTTTCGAGACTGTCATTGTGCCCCAGGCTGGCATTTCCACCCTACCCCTGCTCAACTCGACTGCCACCAATGGCAACTATGGCGGTATTGTTGTCGTGGGCGAAGTGAGCTACAACTACGATGGCCAGTACCGCAGTGCCCTCACCACTGACCAGTGGAACGCGCTGTATGCTTACCAAAGCCAATTCGGTGTGCGAATGGTCCGCCTGGACGTCTTTCCCACCACTGAATTCGGTGTGGTTAGCACTGGTGGTAGCTTGAACGATGACCCGGTTTCCTTTACCAACACCAGTGGCTTCCCTACTGCCAACCTCAAGACGTGAGTACATAAACAGCACCCTAGCGGTAATCAACTTACCAGGAATATAGAAATGTGCCCATCAGCATTGCCAGCATCTATCACACACCTGCCACCATCACAAACTCTTCAATTGCCTGGGAGGTTGCCAAGTTCTCCACGGTTGGAACTGCTGCAGTCATTAACCAGATTGGTGCACGCCAGCAAATGGCATGGTTCCTACCGTTTGCGCTCGACTGGGCTCCTTCAAGCAACATTCTGCAGCATGCGTGGATCACTTGGATGACAAGAGGTCTTTTTGTTGGTTTCCGAAGAATCTATCTCAGCTCCCAAGTTGATGATATGTTTCTGGAGACTGAGATGTACCGGCCGGAAGGCAAAATCTACCGCGCCACGCCAGCTGATCTTACCACACACGTCTCTTGGCAGGCAAACCTTAACTCGAGGATGCCAGCAGGATCAGAGTTCTTCATCGAGATTGGTCACAACGGCAACGGCGATATTGAGGCGTCTGCATACACGAACCAAGGCCAGACTCTCTGCACCCCGCCCCAAGCCATTGAGTACCCTGAACAGCCAAACGGCAGCCCTGAATACACCAAGCCACCTGGTACCGGCACAAACATCTGGCCTGCAACGCCAGCCCAGTACTCATGGAGCCTCCAATGTGCTCAGATTGATCCGCTTGAAAACTGGTTTGCAGTGGCATCGCAACGTGACGCCTTTGCGCATGTTTCGCATACTTTGTACGTAGACGAATCCCCCGAGTCTTATGGCTACTAACCAGAATCTAGCTCGCATTCTGACTTGACCAATTCGACCTACTCGGATACATCCAAGGAGATCACCTTTAACCAGGCCTGGCTAAAGCAGGTTGGGCTTGATGCTGCCAAGCGGTGGAGTGCGAAGGGGCTTATCCCACCCGCGATTACGGGTCTGCACAACGCCGATGCCATCAAAGCTTGGATGGACAACGGTATTACCAACGTCGTTGGAGACAATACGCGACCACTTCTTCGCAACACGCAGAGCACTTTCTGGCCGCTGACTACCACTGTCCAAGGCAATGGATATGCTGGTCTCAATGTGATGCCACGCTGGGCTACGCTCATCTACTACAACTGTGATCTCCCCGACTGCACTCTGCAGGAGTGGATCGACACATCTGCCGGACAGGGCACATTTGACGATCTCCTCAACAATGCGCGTGACACTGCTATCCGCAACCTCTTTGGCTTGCACTGGGATCCGTAAGTTCTCTGCTGCTCGTCGCTTGGCAGACAATGACTGACAGAGTGTATTAGGTACATGTTTCACCAGGCCAACATGCGTGTGTCAGACGTCCCAGCCACTACTATCAACGGCAAGTCTGGGCAATACTCACTGCTGATGACCTGGCTCGAGGTTGTTGTGACAGAGATGACGCGCTTGTGCGTAAAACGCCCCCCTGCTCTATTAACGTTTGCTGACACGCAGCAGGACGACATGGCCCATGAGAACGCTCAAACACGACGACATTGCACAGCAGTTCATCAACCGACAGACGCGTGACCTTTGCCGGCCCAGCATGACGTGGACAACATCGAGCAATGGTGCGAGCATTCAGTCAGTCAGCGTGTACACGGCAGGCGGCAACACGTGCGGAACGACGATTCCGATCACTGTGCCCGGCGGCGTGTCGAGCACGACGGGTGCGACCAAGGAGCAGGTGGGCAGCGACCCGTTGACACTGTGGGTGACGATGAGTGGTGCGAGCCGGCAGTACACACTGTCGTCAGCCTTGCCCCTCTAGGCTTGGATGGGGGCAAATCAATACTCGTTGCATAATAATAGGCGATCATGTTTCAGCTGAAGGTGTAAAAATAAAACTGTTGCGAGGGCGACAAGTGGGCCGAAAATGGAGTTCGTTCTGTGTGCGGGTCCGCCCAAGTTAGTCGTGAATGTCGTGATGCTTCGCCCAGGGCTAGTGGTGTATGTACGTACATGTACTGGGATGGGATGATGGCGAGGACGTGGATGCCTCGCCCGTGCCGCGGTTTAGGCGGCCGGTGTAAGACAAGCCCTAGCACTACCCTTACTACACCCCTACTCCCTACCGCTCGTCGGCTGCTAGCAGAATCGACATTGTTCCAGCCACACGATTGACCAGGGTGAATTATCGAAAAACCCATGCCGCCGGAACAGGGCCATGACGAACAGAGCGCTTCGGTCCGTGATATGCTCAGGCTGGCCACCTGAAACTACGCATGCATGCTTTTCACCGCTCACAGGGCCCGTATTCAGGTTGATTGCGCGCGGTTCGCACTTGGTTGGCCTTAACATGGCCGATGGCTCAACGACGACGGTCTTGGCGGCCTGGTCTTGGCGTCAAGCGCCCACTGGAGCCATTTCCCCTGTGCCTGCGCCCGCCCCCCCGCCTCATACTTACGCCAACGGCTGGCTAGCCGCTTCTTCTCTATTTTCATTCTATTCGATACAATTACAATACCGCGTACATTACACGCGTCCTCCATGCTAACGCCTGCCCAGCCCGCACATGCCGAAAAAAAACAAAGCCCTCTTGAGCCTGGCGACTGCGCCGCTCGCGCCGCCTCGCCGCCTCAAGCCATCTAGACTGCCTGCCCACACCCTACATCGTGGCTGGGGGGCCTATTGTGTGGCTCTGCTCTGGGAATATGTGATGGGTGTTGGCAAACAACAGCGGCTGACTCCGGCCCATCGTGGGCATATCATTGACCAGAATCCTGATCCAGTTCTGTTGCTTCTGCTCCGCAAGGACTCACCCGCACACGCACAACACCCCCCCCCCTCTTCTCTCACATGAGCTGGATACGGGGCGCCTGACACATCTCGGCTAGCACATCTCCTCCAGCGACTGGCCCATCCAACTGCAAAAAACAAACAAAGGGAAAACCGGGGACCATCAGCAATGGACGCAAAATCTGCAGTGCCCAACCCACACACGCGGTCCCGCCGTCGCAAGCTCCTATGCATTGTGCTGCCCATTGTCGCCGTCTGCATCCTCGCCTTAGCTCTTGGTCTGGGATTGGGACTCGGCTTGGGCGGCGGCAGCGACGACAACAACGGCAGCGGCGGTAACGGATCTTCAACACCTCTACCCAGTCCCAACAGCACACTTCCGTGGGTGCCTGCTGTAGCCGCGACCTGGCAAATCATCCTCTCCCACCCGCCTGACCTGTCGTCTGCCCTCACCCCCAACGTCAGTGTCTACGACATCGACCTGTTTGACACGCCCGCCGACACCATCAAGCAACTGCATTCGCTCGGCATCAAAGTGCTATGCTACTTCAGCGCAGGCAGCTACGAGAACTGGCGCTCCGACGCCAAAGACTTCAAGGACGCTGATCTTGGCAAGCCGCTCGACGGATGGCCCGGCGAGAAGTGGCTCAACCTCAACAGCGAAAATGTGCGAAACATTATGAAGAAGCGGATTGATCTTGCCGCTCAGAAGGGCTGTGACGGCGTAGATCCCGACAATGTGGACGGATATGTAAGTCTATTCCTTTTTCAAAGAAAAAAAAAGGGGATAAAGTGCGTGGAAATAAGCGCATATGAACAAGTGAAGAAATATTCTTACTAACGCACAATTTTTTTCACCGCCAAAGCAAAACGACAACGGCCTAGGTCTCACTTCGCAAGACTCGATCTCGTACATGAAGTTCCTGTCCAACATCACGGCGCCACTGAATCTCGCGCTGGGCCTCAAAAACGCCGGCGACATCATCCCGGCCGTGCTGCCCGTCGTGCACTTCTCGGTCAACGAGCAGTGCGTGCAGTACGGCGAGTGCGATACATTTGCGCCGTTCATCGCCGCCGGTAAACCCGTCTTCCATATTGAGTACCCGAGTGGAGCGGGCGCCCAGCAGGGGCTCAAGGAAGACGTGCTCGGCGGCTCGTGCAAGCGCGACGGCAAAGGCCAGGGCAGCCAAAACTTCAGCACCGTGCTCAAGCGCATGGAGCTCGATGGCTGGGTCGAATATTGCGATGGCAAAGTCGAGGTTACCAACATTGATCAGGCGACGGGAGGTGGCCGCGGGTCAGCATCGTCATCGTAATCACCATGGTCGTAGCGGACAGCTCCAGCAGCAAGTCCGTGTAGGGATCCCCTTCCCAATCACTTTAACATACATACAAGTCCGCCATGTTCATCCTTTTCGAAATTCGTCTCCACCGCTATTAGTATAACCTATTGCCACCGGTTCTTCTGTCTGTCTGTCTATCTATCTATCTGTGTGTGTCTGTGTCTGTGTGCATGTTGGAAGTTAAATGGCATGCAAAAAAAAGTTTAATAAACCATGCGCGTTGTAATGAAGTTCACATGGTTGATGTAAAAGCCGCATTCGTTCGTTCATCAAACAAACAAAAAAGGGTCCATGCTTTGCTCCTTGTCTCATCTAGATACATACATGGTGCCCTTGTCCGTCCTCTCCAAGTTCTTCAAACCCGACCCGTAATCTCAAACTCCATATGGTTAAAACACACGACATCCCATAACCCCGTGTAAACCCGGTGGTAGAAGAGTCATCAACCTGGAGATGCCGTGCTTTCGCCCAAACTCCCCCCGCCCCCTGCTGTTCTATGAATGTACCTACTAAATTATCGCATTGCGGGAACAAAGACACCAATGCACATACGCGCGCACAAACACATACAGAAACATACCCTGGGGCCTCATCATGTTGTGAAACGATAAACCACAATGACGTGCTCGATTCAGCTGCCAGGGACGCCCTCCATACGTCCGCGCCCCCCCCCCTTGCCGTAAGCACCCTTTTCAGACCAAGCGGAAGGAGGATTATGCATGTGATCGGAAGAACAAGACGAAGAGGAACAAGAAGCAGTGGTTCGAGCTTACGATTACAACTGGCCGTACGTAGCGTCCTTCTTGGTACTACCGAACTCCGAGCAGGCGGAGAGCGAAAGATCGAGAAAAAGAAAAGGACCGAGAAAAAAAAGAGGTATTTCAGCTCAGTCTAAAGGATGACCGGCCAGACTACAAGCAGAAAAAAAACCCCCACAGACTTTTCAACTACTAGAAAGAAAAACACGGTGCCTCGCGCCGAAATCACGCCGTCACTACACTCGTGTAGTATGGAGCGTAACACCTACGTGGCTCTCATTGAAAAAACATGCCATGTTGCACGACAGCTGTGCGTGCCATAGCGCCACATCGCCTACACCCATGTGCTCTCTCCACTGTTCATCCCCCAGACCTCCTGAAGTGAGAATGTGCAGTGTGCGCAGTGTTGGTGTGGGTGCGCGCTTGGACCAAACGAGTCCCTGGACTTAGGCAAAATGGAGCCCCGGCCGGCCAAAATCCGGGGAATCCATGCTTATATCAGCATGTTATTCTTTACAAACGCCGGCATGGTAATACCGCGAGTCGTGTGTTTGAACATGTGCATGTGGGCGTGCCGATCATCCAAGTGGTGGAATTTGTAATGCGAGGCTGCAACCAGTCAGAAGACACAGTAGTGGTTTTCCTTGTGGGGTGTAGTCGCAGCATGCCAAGATGCCCATCTACCAACCGGTTGAATGCACTGCAATACCCGACGTGGGCTGTGTTGAAATTTCTAGACCGGTCAGAACCACATCGGTAGCTAGCCTCGGCAGTCAAACGTCTTCTACACATACTGTCGTGCTCGATGCCTGGGCTGGTATTTTAGCCAACGCCACGCGGCTTCATTTGGACGTAATTCCCGATGAGTAGGGTGCAAATGGAGACGCCGGCACCTTGCTTGCAGTCGGCCCACGGCTCGTCCGGACGATTCGTACCAGGATTCTCCCTAGGCAGCCTTTGCAAAGAAAAAAAAAAGTAAAACCCCCCCATGTATCATGCATGTGGCTGTCGCAGAGGTGTAGGCCGAGGGACCAGGCCTGCAGCGCTGGCTCGAACCAGGCGAAGCGATGTCTATTTCAGTCGAGGGCTCGCATTAGGATGCACCGAGTTCGTCTTCTAGACTCTTGGGAGCAGTCAAGAATCGAAACACCAAGGCTCGTTACCAAATGTGAGCGGGCGAATGGGGGCCGTGCATACACATACACATACACACTTGGGCTACTCCGCCTGACGCATCCTTGCAAGCGACGCAAGGCGGCCGATCCACAATCCCGGTGGTTCGATGCGAGCTGCAAAGGCTACCAGGGGGTGGGTGCGGGGCAGACATCGCGGCCTTGCTCAATTCTCTGCCGCCGTCTCAACCTGGAAGGCAAAAACAGCGATTCGGCCTGTGTGGCTACTCGCTAGTATATGTACCTCGCACGTCGTGTTAGATCGCAATGGTGTGATGGAAAAAAGATCGGCAGGCCCGAGCGAACGGGCTTGCGATGGCTCCCGTCACTGAGGGCGTCGAGGCGTCGTTGGCTGCTGTTTCACGCAGTGACGGCTAGCCACAAGCGACAAGGGATAGCCATCCCGTTGCGCCGTATAGCTCATCTACCCACTACCACCACAGAAGAAATGGAACAGCGCTAGCCGGGAGCAGTTAGCGGAGCAGTTTGATTTCTTCTGAGCAGGCGGATGGTGTACAACTAGCTTTGGTCGACGGGCACTACGGCTAGCCTTCGGAAAGCTGTCGTTGCAGCGCGACGCCTCACGCACGCCGTCCCTATCCAATGGCCTTGTTCTCTGCCCACGTCATATGTCAGCCAGCTGGTCGCTTGCAACCTCACCTGCCCGGCCTCGAATTCCCAGCGGAGACTGGCGCAACAAGCTATCGAAATCCTACAGGGCGAAATTTTTTTGTCCATGGAGCGCCCTTCTTCAGCTCGGCACAAAATCGGTACTTTGGACATCCGGATGCTGCCTGCACTCCGGATACAAGCGCAGAGCCGCCGGTACTCATACCCCCGAGCCAACACGCATACATAGTCCGCGCTCTGTGCTACCGAGCATGGCAAGGATGGTGCCAACCATATCCAATTCCTGGTACCGAGCCGTCATGGGGAATGGCGACAAGCCAGAGAGATGCGAACCGATATAGAACAAGGCTGTAAAATTTCCGCGCGGAAATGACGGCAGAGTTGGAATAGAGTGTTGGCGCTCGTCTAGCGTGCCAGCCAAAGGATTACTTATCCAATTAGGGGCAGTGGCCAGGGATTAGCTGGTTGTCAGATTGTCGCCTAAAGCAGTCTTGACATGGCAGATGCTAGTGTGACGCGGGGGCTGGTCGAACTCCGGGCATCGTCTCGTCAAGGGAGGTGAAGAGCAAGTAGGCTGTGCGACAATCTTTACTGGTTTGGAAGTATTCACCCGACGGAATGGCGGTCCGCCCGAATGATGCGACATTGCCTCAGAGGGGCGGCCCAGAAACTCTGCCAACTCCTCGCTCTGCACCTGCTCGTCAGTGGGGTGAGGCAACATGTATCCACCATTGGCCAAGACCTTTTCTCGTTCCCACTCAACTTCCAGCTGTGATGGCCAAGACATTAGCTACCGGCCCGCGCACCTAAACTGATCCCACTGCCCGAGCCATCACAGACACGTGGGGAGCTGGAGGCGACTGAAAAACCTCAACTTGCTCAGAAAGCACTGGCTTCCGGCCTACCCCCATCTCCTAGCGTACGCAAGGCTGTACAGAGACGATTCCAGATCCCAAGGCTACCCTGTACAGCTTGACGAGGCGTTCAGCCAATGGCTGAATATGTTGTCAGGCTGCGTGTAATCCAAGCTAAAGTTGAGTCATATGCGATGATGGCTCACGGATAGAACTAGAGCCCACAACGAGATTTCGCTCATCTCACTCATAGTGAGACGCTGTGCGGAATATACCAGGAGCGCTAGGCGATCGGGATGATAATCATCTTTGGCCTCCGAGGGGTCCTCGCTTCTCGATCGTCGACTTGAAGAACATGTCTTCGAAAATTACCGCCAGCTCAGGCGGCTTGGGCGGGAACCTGTCGATATGGTTAGCCTGGTAGAGTGAGTTGATTGTGGGCTAATGGGTGTATGTCGGTCTTGCGCACGTCCAACTGCCGAGGAGCACTCGAGTTCTGGACCGGTTGTGTAACCTGAAAGCATCGTGTAGTGAACAAAAGTAGCCTTGAGAGTAGACGCCAGCACAAACATGCCTCCCAAAAAGCCAAGTTTCGCGATGACCGATGTGGCGATACCTATCCTAGCAAAGCAGGCTTACCAATGAAGCATGCCTTTGGGCGAACACTGTTTCCAAATATGCCGCATAATCGGACGAGTGTTGCGCCGGTACCCTGCGGCCAGACGTGTCGCTAGCAGTGAGCCACAAGCCATACTCGCCCCAAAAGAAGATGCTGTGATGTCACCCAATACCAGGCTCAAAAATCCTCTACACCCCTTCGTGGCTGTGTAGCCGATGTTGCACATGTCGTAGTTGCAAATGTTGTTGAGGGCAGTGAATGTTTCGACAGCTGTCGAACACTCTGCAGTCGGTAATGCCGCCTTCTCCGGGCCCACTATGCATGTTTCCGATTGCGGTAACCGGTGCTTCCAGGAAACAGGCTGCCCTAAGTGGGTTAGAGATGGCGCACTAGAATGTGGCCACTACAGCAATGGGGAGGGTTCATACACATCATGGAAAGGATTCCAAGCCCCTGCCGATGGGCACATGTAGAGGGTGACATTGGCCGAGCTAGACCCATCCATGACCTAAGCTTGGACACGGCTTGCTATGAACCAATTATGAACCAATGGTTTCAGGCCCAACCAGCCGATGTGGCAGTAAAGCCCAAACTTAGCATCATAAAGGCACCCGTCAACCTGGCTGCGTAACGCCATTGTCTGAAGTCTGCCGATCGTCAAGAGATGCTCTCGAGGGCGAATACCGGGGTTGACGCGTACGGCCAGGTACTTCGAAACGCTTCTGTAGAGCTCTCTGCAACTCAAATGAAAGTATTGTTAGAGTTTGGAGCTTGTGTTTGTGTAACCCACATGGGTATCGCAGCATTCGGCGATGCAAATTGGACAGGGATCTTTAGCGATGCAGCTGTATATTTGCGAGAGCTGGGCCTGGGGAGACTCGGGGGGGCTCATGAATCGGGATCTAGAGGCCTTGTCGTGCCAAGCAAAGTAGACAATATTGATGGCGCAGAAGAAGTCTTGCTTGGACGTGTTTTGCCTAATTGACTGTAAGCTGAGTACTGTCGCCATCCTTGCCGTGTATATAAAGATTTTTGGGTTGGCATACCAAGAAAGATCAGTAGCACGGCACTCACACTCGCTCCTCTGCACCCCATTCACTCATTCAGTTCAAGACGCAAAGAGGACTGCACACCATGTCTTCAAGCTCATCATTGTTTTCCTTGTCGCCGGTCGCGACGCCGGAGATGGCCAACACACCCGCGACACAAAGTTCAGTGCTTTTTGATGACGACGTGGTGGCCGATCCTCTGGACATAGGAGGCGCCAGCTCTTCCTTTATCATGGTCGTCGGCGGATTGGGATACATCGGCTCGCATACAACACTAGAGCTGCTCAAGGAAGGATACAACGTTCTTGTCATTGATGACCTCAGCAACTCGTACGAAAATGTCTTGAGCAGAATCAGGGTCCTCGCAGAGGAATTCTGTGCTGCCCAAGGACGACGTGTACCAGCCCTTCACTTTGAACAGCTGGATTATCGGAGCCCTCAGATGCAGGCGGTACTGGCCAACTACTCATCGTATTCCGTCAGCAGTAAACCAACATCAGCACTAGCTCGTTTCCCATATTCGAACCTGCAGCGGACAGACTCCGGGATTGAGATGGAGACAAGCGAAACCCCACAGCCCACAGTCGAGCGTCGGTCGAGGATAACAGGCGTTATTCATTTTGCCGCCTACAAGTCCGTTGAGGAGAGTATTCGCATGCCTTTGAGGTATTATAGCAACAACGTTTGCGGCCTGGTGGATTTCCTCGGCCTTCTCGAAGAGTTTGGTATCAAGAACTTTGTCTTCTCGTCATCAGCCACGGTGTATGGTGAAGGTGCCAACTGCGGTGTGCCTCTGCGTGAAGAGCTGTGCGTACATCACCCCGAGTCCTTTGTTGATAGCCAAGGATTCGAGCGTCGAGCATTGCCGGGCGTACTGGGTCTCACTTCGCCCTACGGACGATCAAAGTTCATGTGCGAATCCATACTCGCAGATCTTGCTCTGGCGGATCCGACATGGTCCATCACTGCGCTGCGATACTTCAATCCGGTACGTGTAAACAATAGCAAGAATTTGGGAGAAGAAGAGACTAATGAAACCAGGTCGGCTGCCACGAGTCGGGCATACTCGGTGAAGATCCCAGGCAGAAACCGAGCAATCTGATTCCAGTTATTGCAACTGTTTTGACAGGAGCAAGGCCGGTATTGGACATATTCGGTACCGACTGGAATACTCCAGACGGAACTGCTGTGCGTGATTTCATTCACGTAGTCGACTTGGCCCGAGGTCATATCGCAGCTCTGGCAGCTTCAGCAGCTGGTCGCACCAAAGCACCGTTCCGAGCCTACAATTTGGGTAAGTTCCCGTGATGCCCACATGTCAAGTCTTTGGATCTGGCTGCTGACTCTCCTTAGGTACTGGCAAAGGACACACCGTCCGCGAAGTGCTCAGCAGTCTGGAGGATGCGTCTCAACGGAAGATTCCAGCACGAGAGGTTGGACGACGCGCAGGTGACGTTGGCTTCTGTGTGGCAGAAGTGCAGCGAGCAGAGACAGAACTCCAGTGGAGGGCTGAAAGATCTCTCCGGGACTGTGCCGGAGATGTCTGGAACTTCACCAAGGGTCGTTGTCCCGATGCACCAGAGATTATCAGTACGACGTGCTAGGGGCCATGGTGTTAGCTGCGGCGCGGTCCGCACCCGACGTTCTCGTCGTTGGCCGATACACGGAACTCTTTCTTTTTCAATCATGGTTCGAAAAGTTTGTTAGTTAGCATCATCACGCGGCGTTATTTTCTTTCCTTGCCGAGCGCGAGGTGCGGCCTGGCTCTGCTGCGGGGCTGGAAGGTGACTCGTATATAAACTTTGAACTTACACATACAATTGACGCATCGCATATTAGCTTTTGAGCACAGAATGTATGTCTGGCAGGTATGGGTGACAAGGTCATGTCTGGGTGTAGCAGCGCCAAGCACTGCTGAGAGTTTGGCACAAGTGCAAGTTGGGAATTGGCCGGCGCGACGATTGGATGGTGGCGATGGGCGGGAGGATATAAAAAGCAGATACAACTAGACGCAAATCGGCAATCGTTTACTGCGGTGGCGCATTGGATGCTGGCATGCGAGCAAAGCAAAGCAAAGACGAGAGGCTGCCGACGTGAAGTGAAACGGGGGGATGTTGAGCGTGGCCTATCTGGGCATTCCGAGCTACGCAACGGCGCATCTTATACAAAGCCCTGTTTGCGTCATTAGCCTGGCCTGCCACTCAGAGACAGCAGCTGCTATGTGATCAGCCATGAACCCGTTCGAAAAGGGTGCGGGTGGTGTCTATCACCGCGACGAGGCAGAGCGGGCATTGATAGCTGAGGCTACACCTAGCCTGCATGTAACCGACCTTTGCAGGCTCACATGGCGGGCGCGCTAGCCAATCCAGCGCCGTGGAACCAAGTGCGATTGCCCAGTCGCGTTCAATGGGAGGTGGCCATGATGCATTGAGCTTATGGCTCAGCTCGTGGCTACGGTGCCCCCTTTGCGCCCACCTGTGCCCCCGACGACTGACCCCGCTGAAAGGCCCTCGCACTCGTCGTCGCACCCGTCGTCGCACTCGCACTCGCTGGCCAGGGCGAAGGGAGGGGGGAGTGGAGGGGTGGAGGGGACGAGGGGAGACGCCGCGCAGCCGTCCAGTCATGCATTACCAACGGCCACTCCGGGTGGGGGGGGGGGGGGGGGGGG